GTCCTTGCTTTGTCTTGCACTCCTGGCCAATTCCTCCTCCGTGGCTGCCTTCCTCAAGAGGGGGCTGATGTTTTATTTGTTGTGCCATTTGTCTTCTCGTTTCGTGTTGGCTCCCTTTCTCTCTCTCCATTGTTCGTTTTTTTTTTTTTTTTTTTTTTTTTTTTTTTTCAATAACAACAATCTTTTATTAATCCACACAAAGGCATACAAGCCAAGCCTACACCATAACCAGCCCCTACGGCTGCCATCTTGCCCTGGCCCCCATGGCCTATCCTACTCCCCAAGGCTCCTAACCAGCCTACGCACCACCGGTGCATCCACCTACGCCCCCCGGCATAGTGGCAAGGGGCGCCGCCCCATGGGTCCTCTCACACCACGGGTGCGGGACCTTGTGCGCCACGCCCTCCCATAGGGCAATTATTTGCCATATGGCCGGGCTGGCCGCAACGGAAACACACCCCCTTGAAGCGGGGCTCGTGGCAGCCCGCGGGTGGCATGCCTTTGACCGGCCTCATCCGCCACCAAGAGCACCTCGAAGCGTTTGTTGATCAACGTGTCGATTTGCTCCACGTTGGAGAGCGCGCCCTCGACGTCGCCGTTTTGGAGCTTGAACTCGACGTGCCTCAGGTGAGCTTGAATTGCAGAGAACACCTCCGCCTGGTCACGCACTCCCTTGCGCATGAAGGTAGTAGCTGCGGGTGAAGGGTTGAGGGGGGGAAGGGGAGGTGCGGGTGCGAGAATGCGACGACGAACAAGGTTGTCGGGGGCCTCACCGTCTTCATTTTCTGAGTCGTCGCTGTCGTCGGGGATACGGGCTTGGGTTGGTGCCGGAGCTGGGGTGGGAGCAGGAGCAGCGTTGTTGGTGCGAGCGATTTTGGTGGAGCGGGGAGCCGCGACAGATTCCTTCTGCTTTTCGATTTTAGCTGACGCAGAAACTTCTTCAGCTGATGTAGCTGCAGTCGACGGTGCGTGGTGCTGCAATAACGAGAGCAGCGCCTGTAGTTGCTGCGCGGTCAAAGGGGTGGGGGCGGCGTTGACCGGGGTGACGTCAGCGGAGGGTGCCGCGCGCTGGCGTTTCTGGGTCGTGGGCCCGGATGGACCCGCGTCAGCGGCGGTCGTCGTCTTCTGCGCAGCACGCGCGTGCCTGCCAGGCACGCGCTCTTCAGCAGCAGCCACGCGCGACTGTACAACAGTCGCGCGTTCCTCAGGGGGGGTCCGAAGGGTGCCTCCGAGCAGGAGGTCGACCGCCGAGGGTCCCTCGCTTGAAATTTCCTCGGCGGGACGTTTTCCGCCGCGACGATCCGTTGTCACGGCCGGAGTCGAGGTTTCCGCCGCGTTACCGGGGCTAGAATTATTCGAATTGTCGCGGTTAAGTGCCGGGTTGACCGGAGCCATCGTTGCGAGGTTGCGCTTAAGGATGTCGTTAAGGAGCGTTGACGAGGCAGTGAAACGCGGAAGCGACTGAGTCTTCGCCAGTGTGGACGAGAACGAAATTAGAACTACAATTTCGAAAATGAAAACGTGGGTGGGGACGAATGTCCCCACGTCCCTCTTTTGTAGGCAAAAGAGGGTGAGTAGCGCTTCGGCGCTACCTTTGCTGTGTTGGCCACGTACCCCTTTTCACAATACCGTCACCCCCCGGATATACCCCCATGGGGGGCTATAATATAACATGTTTTTTTGAGGGGGTGGGCTTATAATATAGTAAATTTATAAGCGCCGGCGTTTATAATTTGTCAAAATTGAATTTTGTTTTTAAATATACCAAATCGAAGCATTCTCAAAGGCGGATTCACCTGGGTCGAGAACGTTCGAAACTGTGCATGCATTGCGCGTGAAACGGCCAACAAGGCGTGGCTTCACGCCTTCCACGCCTTGTTGGCCAGGCCAGGTTCATCGAACGTGAACCTGGCCCATGCCAGTGCACACGTACCTCGCATCACAGCGGCCCAATCAGGGTTGCATGCGATCGTGGGCACGTCGTGGTTCAGCCACGGTGTGCCCATCAACAGCAAAATTCCCCGCCACCGAGGCAAGGAGCTGCCCAGCTCAGCTCCTCTGCGGGGAATCTTGACTGGGGCCACCCTTTTCCCGCAGAGGAGGCCGGGCCGCGAAAATGAAGGGGTCTCGGGCGAGGGCTTCATACAACCCTCATTCTCGACTTTTGCCTTCAGTTTCTTTGTTCGTTTGGCCTGCCGTGGCCATGGCGGGCCTTCCACGCACGCATTTCTTGTTCCGCCGCCATCCTGCTGCCAGAGAAAACACCCGCCGAGACACCTGTGACTACTCTCAATGGCAGTCGCGCCCTGCGCCCGTCCCTCCGTGTCAACCAGTAGCTCCTCCCGTTCCTCCCACTCCTCCAACTCCTCCTGCACCTCCCGCTCCCCCGGCGCCTCCGGTTCCTCCAGCTCCTCCGTCCCCTCCTGACCCGCCTGTGTTTGGTGCTCCACGTCAGGGGGTCCTGCAGCTTCTCCTCCCTCCTGGCTACTCGGCGTTTGACGCGTACCTGTCCGAGCCCGACCGCGCCGGTGGCGCATCGTCTTCCTCCGCACCGTCGCCACGCTGGGGAGCCCCGGCTGATTGCCCGTTGGACGAATCCGCGGCTGGTGCGGAGGATGACGTGGAGTTTTGGGCTGCCGACGGTCTTCCAGAGCACCTGCCTATTCCCACCTTCCCCCCCCCCAATAAGAAACGGCCCCACCCTTCTCGCGAGAATCGCGATGCCCGTCCTCCCTCCCCCAGGCACAAGCCTTCAAGTCACAAGCGGCACTCTTACACATCGCAGGAGAAACTGCAGTGGATTCTCAAGCTTGAGTCCGGGCACATGAGCGTGCGGCAGATGTCTCGCCAAACCGGCATCTCCCGAAGGTCACTCGCAGAATGGAAGACCCGGAAGGCTGACCTGGAGGGCGCGCATGCTGCTCGCAAGCGTCTTCATGGGCGCGGAAGGAGCTCGTGGTATCGCGACATGGAAGCTGAAGTCTACAGGAGGTTTCTTGCCCACCGTAAAAAATGTCTCGCGGTCTCGATCGCTCGCCTACAGAAGTGGTCGCATGAGGTGATGAAAGAATTGCACCCACAGGTAAAGTGGTCCGGCTCGCAGCGGTGGACTGAGCGGTTTCGCCGCCGTTGGAATCTGACAACCCGAGCGAAGACCAGGGTCGGCCAGAAGCTTGCTGCCAGTGAGTTTGTGGGAAATGGTTGCAGTTTAATGTGTACTGCTTTGTGTTGTTTGTCTCTTTATGTTTCACGGTTGAATTTTAACGCGTCATTAATACTGTCTTCTCTCTTTCCCTCCCACCCGTACTCCCAGACTGCGAGACTGACGTCAGGAATTTCTGGAAGTTCGTGCGTCACACCCGCCGCCAATACAAGATTGACCCGCAGTGGATAATAAACGCGGAGCAGACACCACTGTGGCTCGAGATGCCTGCCGAACGCACAGTCGAGGAGGTGGGTCTGCGCTCTGTGCCTATCCGCAGCGGCGGCTATCAGAAGGAGCGAGTTACGGTGATGCTCGCCTGCACTGCCAGCGGTGAGAAGCTGAAGCCGTGGGTCTTCTTCAAACGGAAGACCCTGCCTAAAGGGGATTTCCCTTCAGGTGAGCATTAACACCCACTGCTGCATGTTTTTTTTTTTTCAATGTCTACTGATGTTGTATGTGCGTTTGTGGCTGTGCAGATGTTACGGTGTCCGTCCATCCCAACGGTTGGATGGACGCGGACGGAGTCATTGAGTGGCTCGACGGGGCAGTGAAGCCGTTCGTCCACACCAAGTTTGGAGTGAGGCCCCGCAAAGCGATGCTCGTCTTGGATTCGTACCGCGGGCACCTGACTGCGGAGGTGAAGAAGAAGTTCGGGGAGCTGAACATCGTCCCTGCCGTTATCCCAGCTGGCTGCACCTCGGAGATTCAACCTCTGGACGTCGCGGTGAATCGCTCCTTCAAGGCATCCGTTCGACAGCTCTACCAGGAGTGGTTCGAGAGCGAGGGGGTCGACACCTTGACAAAGAAAGGTGAGAGGCAGGCCATGCCTGTGCTGCTTTATCAGTTTGTAGCGGTGGCTGACTTTTGATTGTTTAAATTTTATGGCAGGCAACATCAAGAAGCCACCACCCGAGCTAACGCTCAAGTGGATATCAGCGGCTTGGAAGGCCGTGCCCAGGGACTTGATTCAACAGGCTTTCCTCACCTGTGGCATTAGTAACGCCCTGGATGGGTCCCAGGACAAGATCTGCCTGCAACACAGGCGCGACGAGCTTGAGGGCGACGAAATAGACATCGACGACGACATTGCAGCAGATGGCTTTTTCTGCAACAACGTAGAAGAACCAGAGTCGGACTCTGAGGCCGACCCGGATGATCCTACCGCAGCTGATGACTAGATTACGTAGATCTAGAAATTGCTGTAGCCTGTGAGACTCGTAGGTAGATTTAGAACTGTAATTAGAAAAAACTGTAGATAAACTGACTTTGTATTTAATTAGATGAAAATATAAGTTATTAATGTGGTTAGTGAAGATTGTAGAAAAAAAATATTAAGAAAGTGGCGGTTATAATGTGTAAGGTACAGATATGCGGTTATAATCCGTACGACTCTAGGGTATGCGCTTATAATCGAGGAGGGGATATAAGCGCCATATGCCAATTAGAAGCGCCAGGCGCTTATCCTAGGGTGGCGCTTATATCCGGGGGGTGACGGTACAAAATTTTAGAAAGTGTTACATTTCATTACACTTTCAAAAATTATCATGTCTGGGAAATCAGTGTCCAGACCCTAAATCAGCCTTTTTTCGCTGACTTCTGAGGCCCTGATTGCAAGCCACCCTTGTTTCTTTGCTTAGCTAGACCGAGCCAGTAATGGGATGCAACGAAAACATGGGAAGAGATTGCGGTTTTAACATGCAGCTTAAGAGGTGCAACATGCAATAGCATGCTCCTCAGGACTGCCTCTAAAACCCCTCCCCGAAGCTGCAATGTGCAACATGCAATGCCATGTGCTTTAAAACTGCCGCTGTGACCCCTCTCCGAAGCTGCTGACGCGGACGGGAGTCTGAGGCTCACACGACTGCGGTGTGTAGATGCTCATAGGGTGCATTGAGTACATGGCAGCCGTACGGCCAAAGGCGGATGTCGAAACGACAAAGGAGTTGCACGAGGAGAGCAGCAGCCACTCAGTGACTGTCTCTTGAAAGGTTTGCACAGAGGGGATTGCAGGAAGAGGGGGTCCCTCAGGGGTGGTGGGATTGGAAGAAGGGTCGGAGGAGGGAGGGGGTGCAGGCGCGGGTGGGGGAGGGGGGCTTTGGCTGATGCTGAGGAGGGAGGGTGGGACCCACGGTTCAAATTCGGTGATCACAATCTGCAGTGAGAGGGGAAACACGGGGAGAGAAGGGGTGAGGAGTTTGTTATTGGGGGCCATGGGTGTTACTGGCTGACGCTGAGGAGGGAGGGTGGGGCCCACGGTTCGAATTCGGTGATCACAAACTGCAAAGGAAGCAGGGTGGGGAAAGGAGGTAAGGGGGAGGTGGGGGAATGGGTTTCTTTTAACAGAAAGCCTTGGTGGTGCTGATGCTGAGGAGGGAGGGTGGGAATCACGGTTCAAATTCGGTGATCACAATCTGCAGTGAGCCGAGGGAGGAGACCAAGGGTGGTTGAAAAAGAACAGGAAATGTAGCCACGTGATAAAAGTGTAGTTTTGAGACGTCTCAAAACTACACTTTTATCACGAGACCAAGGGTGGCTGAAAAAGAACAGGAAATGTTTAGCAAGAGGGGTAACTTCAATGCGACTCAATTTGAAAGATCTCTAGCACAGGGGGAAGGGGGGCTGAGACAAGACTTGCCCTTGGACTCGCTATAATCACACCACCTTTGAACTCAGATATATTGCATCACATCACCCTGGAATATTTTCACATCACCTTAGAATCGTTCACTTTGGTAGCCTCCTGTTTGAGTTGCAACGAGTCGCTAATAACGAGCCACTTAACGTCAAGAGTTGGCGGATACCACCAGTTTTCCAGATTCTGTTACATGTGTGGGGTGGGAACAGAAGATTTATAAGTTGAATAAAAATCGTCTCATGAAACATTAAGTTGCAACGAGTCGCTAATAACGAGCCACTTCACGTCAAGAGTTGGCGAATACCACCAGTTTTCCAAATTCTGTAAGATGCGTCTGGGGGGAAGGGGGTTTGGGCTGAGTGAGTGTTAGAGATGGGACGAATTGGTGGTTTCCTTGGTATTGTTTTCTGTGCACCCACCTTGGCGCACTCAATGGCGGGCCACACGACGTCGTCCATTACTTGCTTCACCTCCTCCGGGCTAACGGTGGTGTTGGGTGGGGGGGGCCCGCGGCCGAAGTGCCGCACGTGCATGCCGATGCTCACCACCTTGTCGCCCCTCAGCTGCTTCTCAAACGGCTGCATCCTGTGCCACACCTCCGGCTTGGGCCTGGCGAGGAGGGGAGAGCGAGAAGGGAGAAGAGGGATAAAAAGCTCTACTCAAAATGAACGGGATTACATAAGGGAGGAAGGGAGGGTGGGACTACAACATCAACATGCATTTGCGTCCACTCCGACCCACTTTCGCCCTTAGATACAACCTCACCCTTCCAATCACCCACCTCAACAGGTATCGAACGAAGCAGCCAAAAGCGTATGGAATTCGCACGCCCATGGCCCTGAGTCTCTCCCCCCACACCGATTCATTCGCCCCCTTCAGCATATGCACTAGCAGATCCTTATTCCACACCACACGCAGGTTCCTCGCAGCTTCCACCTTCGGAAACACCTTTTCCGGGTGCGCCTGGGGATGTAATTCCAGATTAACTTCCACAATATCGCTCGCTCCTATTGGCGGCGTGACTGCCCGGTCATGAGGGTCCAATGGAAAAGTTTCGTTTCTGACCGGCTCAAATCCCACGTCCTCGGTCGGCTGCCAGTCGATTAGCGCCGGTTCAAACGCCATGGGGATGCACGGGTGCTTTATAACGAAGGCTCTGTTAGTGAGGAGAGCTACAGTGAATGCTGACGTCAGCCCCATGAGGGTCTCCCCAAGGCTGTCGCAGTGGCTGAGGCCGTCAAAGGTGAGAAATTTCACGGGCGGCGTGTCAGGCGGCGGGGCAGAGGATGGATTTTTGCTGGCTGCCCGGATTTGCTGGTGCATGCGAGTGTAATTGTGATGCCATGTCCCACATAAATGGTCAGGGAAACCGAAATCGATGAGAGTGGGGACGTCCGGGAAAGCATCTATAATGGCCCGAGACTGAAAAGGGGAGGAGCAAGTTGGCGGTGGGGAAGGGGACGGGGTTGGGGAGGGATAAAGTAATTGGGTCACTGCGGGTGTATTGGGAAGCAGAGGCGTAAGAAACATGAGCAATTTGCATGGAGGGGGGAGTTAGCCAAAAAAACTCCCAGAGAAACATCATGCTTCACTCGAAACAACACATCAGGCTGTACGCACATCTCGTATCAGGCTGCACGGACATCATCGCACCATGCTGCACATACACCATCGAATCATGCTGCATGCACATCATCGCACCATGCTGCACATACACCATCGCATCATGCTGCATGCACATCATCGCACCATGCTGCACATACACCATCGCATCATGCTGCACGCACGTCATCGCACCATGCTGCACTCACATCATGCCATTCATCCACTCACAAGGGCATCGCGGTGGTGAATGCGCTCGTCTGCTGCATTCCCAACCTGATGTGACAATAAGGGAAGGTAAGGGAAAGGCCGGGAAAGGCTAAGTGGCTGCGAGGAGAGACGAGGGATGCGGAACGCCAAAGCATAAACATTGAGTAAAAAATCCAGCTGCTTCTATTTCGGACAACCTCGTGTGGAATCGAATCAAGAGGAAGCTCATAACTAATGACAGATTAACGTTCGAGCTTCCGCTATGACAACTGCATGGGTGACCTTTAGAACGGACAAACGTAAATAATAGAAAAGCGATCATGAAACATGACGAAAAACTGCATGGGTGATCTAAAACAGCTTTTCTTTAATGAATACTACGTGACAATGATAACTGCGTCGCCGAAAGTGTCGCCAGTAACGAGACTCACGTGTATAAGGGCAATAGCATAAGTAAGAAACAGGAAACGCTGAGCTGATGAAATTCGTCGACCTAACGAAATCCGTCGAGCGACTCGCATTCTGTCAGTCGAGTCACGAAGTCCTTGAACAGGCAGCATCTCCCGACTCACGTGCTCTGAAAGACAGAGACAACACAGCTGCTTCGACTACAGCGGAATAATTTAGAGATTCCCGTCTATGTGAACAACTAGCTAACAAGGTAGTAGTAGTTAGTGGACTTTGCATGAGCGAAATAGGGTGAAGCTGGAACTAGCAGATCAGGATCCATCACCTCGATTTCTCGAAATACCCGCCAGTTTTTTTCCCGTCAAAAAGCTGACTGGAAGCTGACTGTCTGCCAATTTTCCATACCGAACCCACTGGTTTGACTCGACTTGTACCCTGACGGTTCAGCCAACCTTGGAAACTCCGCTTTAAGTAATTCTTGTACAGTAACCAGCGCAACATCCATACAGCATTAATTCTGGGTTGCCCACACTTGTGTCTTGCCAATACATGATATTAGCAACGGCTCTTAGGACTGCTATTTCAACCCCTGTCAGACTGCTGCTGATGCAGACTGGTGTCAGGTGCAGTGATGCTACATTATTATTGCAGTGGGCCTTGCACATCTCACTCTGCTGTGTAAGGTGTATATGCATATGCATGGGATGCATAAAATAACCCAGTTGAGTGCAGCGCAGTGATATGGCCGACAAACTAAGATGCAGCGCGGCAGCGCCCATTTCAACTAACTACAGGCAGCCATCCAGTGCAATTCACACGCGTCTCAAAATTGCCGCTTGGACTCTTCTCCAAAGCTGCTAACGCGGACGGGAGTCTGAGGGTCGCACGAATGAGGCATGTACATGCTCAGAGGATGCATCGAGTACATGGCGGCCGTGCGACCAAAGGCGGAGGTCGAAACAATAAAGGAGTTGCACGAGGAGAGGAGAAGCCACTCAGTGACTGTCTCTTGGAACGTTTGCACAGAGGGGATATCAGAGAGAGGGGAACCGTCTGGGGTTGTGGTGGTGGTGGTGGTGGTAGTGGTGGGATCAGAAGAAGGGTCGGAGGAGGGAGCGGGCGCGGGTGGCGGACTTTGGCTGATGTTGAGGAGGGAGGTCGGGACCCACGGGTCAAATTCGGTCATGACGATCTGCAAAGGAGGTGAGGCGGGCGAAGGGGAGTAGGGGGGATGGGGACATCAGTTCAGTATTGAATGTTTCGGGTGGTACTTTTGCTGGGGAGGGAGGGCGGGACCCATGGGTGATGAGATCTTTAAAGGAGGTGGGACGGGTGAAAGGGGAATGGGGAGGAAACGGGATGGGTTTTTTTCTACCAAACTACAGTTCTCTTGAACGTTAGCAACTGATGCTGAGAGCCTTGGATGGCACTGTTGTTGAGGAGTAAGGGGGGGTTGGGACCCACAGGATTAAATGGGGTGTTTACGATCTGCATAGAGGGGTGGGAGTAAGCGAAGCTTTTGTCAAACCCCTGGAGAGAATCAGAAAGCGGAATGGGAAACCGACATAATGTGGTGATAGGTCTGCATGGAGGAAATGAAGTTGGAAGAAGATGGTTCAGAAAAAGGATGAAATCAGAGCTCGAAGGGGGCTTGGGTGGTGGGGGGCTTGGGGGTGGTGGAGATGATGGTGGGGAGGGAGTACCCATTGGTTGGATTCAATGATGACAGAGGGCAGAGGCACGGTGGGAATAAAGGAAAGAGAGGAGAGGAGAGGAGAGGAGAGGAGAGGAAGGAGAGGAGAGGAAGGAGAGGAGAGGAGAGGAGAGGAGACGAGAAGAGAGGAGAGGAAATGAGATGAGAGAAGAGGGAAGGAGAGGAAAGGTAAAAAGAAGACATATAGTCACACACTTTGGACTTGTTATTATCACAATACCTTAGACCTGTAAGAATCACATCATATTGAGCTCGTCATGAACCACATCACCTTGGACTCGTTATAGTCACATCACCTTGGACTCGTTATGGTCACATCACCTTGGACTCGTTCACGTCAATGGCCGCCTTCTGTTTGAGTTGCAGCGAGTCGCTAATGATGAGCCACTTCACGTTAAGGAATGGCGGGTACCACCAGTTTTCGACATCCTGCCACGTGCGTGGGGAGGGGTAGGGGCGGGTGTCAGAGGTGACTTTTGAGACATCTTTAGAGTCGCTAGTAACGAGCCACTTCACATTGAGGAATGGCGGGTACCACCAGTATTTGACATCTTGTGGGTTTGGGGGGACGGGGGAGGGCGTGCGCGCAAGCAAGAGGAGAACAGCAGACTGTTTGAGTTGCCACCAGTCACTGTTAATGAGCCACTTCATATTGAGGAATGGCGGGTTCTTATACACTACCATGTGTGTGTGTGGGAAGGGGTGGAGATGGGTTTGTCATAGGTGGGAAGATTTACGAGAGAACGCTACCACCAGTTCTCAAGATTCTTCCGTGTGTGAAGATTGGTGGGGTTGGAGGTGAGAAAAATAGGAGGGAACACTGAAAGCAGATTGTTGTGCGAGCAATGGGAGAGAATTAAACTGCCTGAATCACAGAAAATCCTTTAACATGCTGCCCCGTGAGGAAGGGTGGTTTTGAGGCGCCTCAAAACGAGCAGTCTAGTTTTGAGGCGCCTCAAAACAAGCAGCAAGAGAGAATCAAACTGTCCGAATCACAGAAAACCCTTTAACTTGCTGCCCCGTGGGTTTTAAGTCGACTCAAAAGTCATCTCAAGAAACAATCCGTCCGAATCACAGAAATTCCTTCAACACGCTGCCCCGTGGGGGAGGGTGGGGGGAAAGGGGCCGGCTATCCGCGTCCTTTCGTCTACTCTTTCCTGATCAAACTGCGTCTTTTCGTCTGCTGCTCTTTCCTGAGCAGACGACCCTTTCCCCTGAATCCTGATTAAAACACCCACCTTGGCGCATTTTACGGCAGGCCACACGATGTCATTCATAGCCCTCCGCAGCAAGCGTGAAATGCGTTGCGTTTTGAGTCGACTCAAAACAACACCCACCTTGGCGCATTTTATGGCAGGCCACACGATGTCATTCATAGCCCTCCGCAAGTCGCCTGAGTTGATGGTGGTGCTGGGTGGGAGGGACCCGCGGCCGAAGTGCCGCACGTGCATGCCGATGCTCACCACCTTGTCGCCCCTCAGCTGCTTCTCAAACGGCTGCATCCTGTGCCACACCTCTGGTTTGGGCCTGGCGAGGAGGGGAGAAGAGGGCGAGACACAGGGGGATGGATGTTTGAGGTAAGCCTGTGCTCCCCATCTTGCATCCTGCGTCACACGCACCTACGGAGTGGGCCTTCAGAAAAGATAAAGAAAGGGCCAATGAGGCTTGATAATCTGCCAATCATGAACATAACCAACTCTCAAACATATCCATTCATCCTCTGCTTTTGAGTCGACTCAAAGGCAAGGGGGGGGGTGGGGTGGGGCCACTGAGGCTTGATAATCTGCCAATCATGAACATAACCAACTCTCAAACATATCCATTCATCCTCCCACCTCCCACCTCTCACTTCCCACCTCTCGCCGTCTCACCTCAGCAGGTATCGCACAAAGCAGCCAAAAGCGTACGGGATACTGACACCCATGTCTTTGAGTCTCCCTCCCCACACCGATTCATTTGCCCCCTTCAGCATATGCACCAGCAGGTCTTTATTCCACACCACACGCAGGTTCCTTGCAGCTTCTACCTGCAGAAACACCTTTTCCGGGTGCGCCTCGGGACGTAATTCTAGATTGATCTCCACAATATCGCTCGCTCCTATTGGTGGCGTGACCGCCCGGTCAGGATGCTCGAGCGGAAAAGTTTCGTTTCTGACGGGCTCGAATCCCACGTCTTCTGTGGGCTGCCAGTCGATCAGCGCCGGTTCAAACGCCATGGGGATGCACGGGTGCTTTATAACGAAAGCTCTGTTAGTGAGGATAGCTACAGTGAACGCTGACGTCAGCCCCATGAGGGTCTCCCCGAGGCTGTCGCAGTGGCTGAGGCCGTCAAAGGTGAGAAATTTCACGGGCGGCGTGTCGGGCGGGGGGTCGCCAGAGGGATTTTTGCTGGCTGCCCGGATTTGCTGGTGCATGCGAGTGTAGTTGTGGTGCCATGTGCCACATATCTGGTCGGGAAAACTGAAATCGATGAGTGTGGGGTCATCAAGAAACCCATCAATGATGGCTCGAGACTGAAGGGGGGAGGTGGGGGGAAAGGTAGTAGGGGGGAGGGAGGGGGGAAGGGGGAAGCGGGAGGGAAGAGGAGGAAAGGGTAGCAGAAAGGGGAACAGGAAGTGGAGAAAAGGATTTTGGAAATGCTGCGAGGAGAAAAAAATGGCATGAGAACTTTCCAATGTTAACAAAGGTACGTGGGTAAGATACAACATCTATTCAGAGAGGCAACTCCATGGCCATCCTCCGATTGTTCAAATGATCAAGGGGCAAAAATACGAATGGTATCCTTAAAAACGACCGTAAAAAAAGGTTATATATATTTTAATATTTCTGAAGGAGAAATAGCACATTGTTGTTTTTGGTGGAAAAAACCACCTGCTGTTGTAACATGGCCATTGGCCACGTTTTCGTGAGTAGGATGAGGTGGCTGTTACAAGTGATATTGGTTAAGAGTACTCATATCTACAGGTGATATTCTTGCACCCTCATCTTGCATTCCTCATCACATAATGCCTCACACACATATCACATCATGCTGCACTCACATAATCACATCACACCATACACTCACTCACAAGGGCATCGCCGTGGTGAATGCGCTCGGCTGCTGCATAAACGGCTGCACTCACATCATCTGATGATGCTGCACTCGCATCATCTGATGGTGCTGCACTCGCATCATCACATCACATCACACCATACACTCACTCACAAGGGCATCGCCGTGGTGAATGCGCTCGGCTGCTGCATTCCCAGCCTGATGCGACAATGAACGGGGAGGAGGGAGTCTGGGTGACGCTTAGTGGCCGGGAGGAGAGAAAAGCCATGAGCATTCGGATGCGGATGTGGACGCGAATGCATGGACATTTCTTGTGCAGGGATGTATCATGTTGTGTGCGGAACGGCAGATAATACTCAATGAGTCAAGGAGCTAACAGCATTTATTCCAGACACGCTACTGTGGGCTTTGTCAGGCGGGATACACGGATTGCCAGGCGGAGATACAAGGTTAGTCAAAGACTAATGTCCAGAACTTGCGCTAAGAAGAAAGAATAAAAGAGAAGCACCGGTGGTCGTGAGAACGGACAAGTGACAATCTTGGGATGCCATTTTAAAGCCTTTTTCTCGTAAATTGATAATGAGTTGACCATGATCATCAGTCGACAAATAAATGGGAATAGCGAGACTCACGCGCAGAGCGGCGATAGCGCAAGCCAGAAACAGAAACCGCTCAAGTGACGGGATCCCTCGAGCTAACGGAATCCGCCGAGCGTCTGTCATTCTGCCAGTCGAATCCTAGAGAAGCTGAACTGGAAGCGTCACAGCCGTGCACATACACAGCTAACTGAACGTCTATCAGGTTCCGATCATCCCTAAGGTATTCCTCCTGATACTGGCCCTGTATACACTGTTTTCCCTCAGAGCTTCCTGAATACTCCTGACAGACTGCCATGCTTCTCAAGGGACTGGGGATTGACGAGAACCAACCTTGGGATTGCCGGCCGATGGGTTCGTTCGCTGATGGAATTTCTTCTGCAGGGGCGAGTTTGATCTTGCCTGACCAGCCCGCTATGAGCTGTCCATTCGACACAGAAGAACTCATAGATTCTTATGTTAATTTTGCGAGATTATTAAGTCGTTGTTTTCCATATATCAAGTTCCTAAACACAGAAACAGGGGATATGATGCATATTATAGCAGGCTCACACTAATTTTAGGGCTTCTGACTGAAATAGCATGCAAATTAAAAGACATAATCAGATTAGCATTCGCAAGTATAGCATCAGAAGAAGCCTACTAAGGACTAATTATGCAGTATAGCTCCCCAAATTCAAATCATTCATCAAGAAGACCATTTTAACTTTCTTAGATAGTAAACAGTAAGCAAGCAACCAAATCTGCATGATATTTCCTTGCCTAGAGATGTGTTATACTTCTCACAAATTACTCAAACGTGTTCCACCCATTCAAGTCAAACGAGCTCGCACTACCCGGCTGCACCTCACCCTGCCTTCCAGACCTCTACTGCCAGGTGAGCCAATGCAATGCACCTCACCCTGCCTTTTCTGTTGAGTGTTTCCTTCATACTGCTCACAAATCACTCAAACGCATTCCACCCATACGAGTCAAACGCGCTCGCACTACCCGGCTGCACCCCCCCCTGCCTCGCAGCCCCGGGTGTTTCCGCCTCTTCCGCCGCCTTGTCGTAGTTGTACGCGTCGAAATGCGACGCGGTAACATGCTGGTTACCGCCTGCACCACCCCCACTGCTTCGGAGATTGGCAAAGGGGTCCCCTCCACTGTCCTCCTCCTCGCTGCTATGCACCTCCTCTTCTTCCTCTCCCCTTCCTCGGCCTCCTCCTCCTCCCACCGTCCCCGCACTTGCACCGTAGGGGTTTGAGTCGAAATGGTCATCGAAGCCACTGGCGAAGGATTGGAACTGGCCGGGATGGAACTCGCCAGACTGGAATGAGGGATGGGAGGGAGATGGGGGGGGAGATGGGGGAGGAGATGGGGGAGGAGATGGGGGGGAGATGGGGGGAGATGGGGGAAAATGGGGGAAGTACAAAGCTGGGCGAGTGAGATAGCATGATCGTCGAAGACACTGGGGAAGGATTGGAACTGGCCGGGATGGAACTCGCCAGACTGGGAAGGGGAGGGAGTGGGTGTGAGAAGAAGGGTGGGGGGAAGTGAGGAATTTTCGAGTTGACTCAAAGTTTGAGTCAATACGATCAGACTGTGATCAGACTGGAGGGGGAGTGGTCGAGTTGGAAATGGCCGTGATGGTACTCGCCAGGCTGGGAGGGGGAAGGGGGGGACAGTGGGAGGGGAGGAGGGGACGGGCGGGGGAGTGAGAGCGAATTATTATCGAAGCCACTGGCGAACGATTGGAGCTGGCCGGGATGAAACTCGCCAGACTAGGCTCCTCAGCACGTGAATTCTGTACTCACGCGAGCGTGTGGGCCGGAGGGGGGGTCCACAGAGGGGCGGAAGGAAGAGGAGGTGTCGAGAGCACAGCTCTGGAGTGCTGCTCTTCCTTCCACCCCCTACCCCATAGCTCTGGTCGAACCGATTTTTGAGTCGACTCAAAAATCGACTTGACACACAAAGCAGCACCCCCTACCCCATAGCTCTGGTCGAACCGATTTTTGAGTCGACTCAAAAATCGACTTGACACACAAAGCAGCACCCCCTACCCCATAGCTTGGTCAAACGACCCCACTTTGAAACATATACACCACTCCACTTCACTCTCAGCTCAACCGAGCGTGCGGGCCGGATGGGGAGTCCACAGAGGAATGGAAGGAGGAGGAGGTGTCGAGAGCAGCACCACCAGCACCGTAATGCTGAACAAACGGCCCCACTTGGAACAACTGAGCACATGAAGTCTACACACTCACCCGGGCATGAGAGCCGGATGGGGAGTCCACAGAGGAACGGAAGGAGGAGGAGGTGTCGAGAGCAGCACCGCCCGCACCGTAATGCTGGTCAAACGCCCCCACTCCACCGTAATGCTGGTCGAACGTACTCGCATCAAACCCGCCCTTGAAGCTCGCCGCACCCGTGGCCGAATCGAATGCGCTCGCGTCGAATCCACCCTTGAAACTTGCCGCACCGGTGGCAGAATCAAATATGCTCCCCCCATACCCCTTGAAGCTTGAATCCCTGGAGAAGCTCGGGTCCCGGCCAAAGCTGGAATCGCGGCCAAAACCCTGGTCAAACTGAGAGGCATCAAACGGCGCGGCGTCAACCGGATTGGCGTGAAACGGCGAGGACTCAAAAGTATCGGCAGCACCACCCAGCTGCTGCTGCTGCTGGGAGTGGATAGGGCTATCTTCCTGACCCTCAGCAGCGTGCGTGAGAGGTGACTGAGCCTCGTCGTTTCCACTCCTCCGCCGCCCCTCAGTGCTGAACGAGGTGGGGAAGGGAGATGCGGATTCTGAACGGTCTGCTGCTGCTGCTGCACCTGAGGTGAACGGGTCCTCTGGCTCTGCCGAGAAATCAAACGCGAAGGACCCGGATTTGGTCTCTGTTACTGCAGCGCCACCTTCACTGTCGGCACTGGGAGATAGGCCGAAGGAGGCAGCGGGAGCAGCGGTGGCAGCAGCGGCGGCAGCAGCAGCTGTTGCTGCTGCTGGGATACCAGCAGCAGGTGCAGCAGTGTCAGACGAATCTGCTGCTTGTTCGTCCTCCTCCTCATCCCTTCCTCTCCCCCCCGACCCATAGCCCTTCCTTCCACTGTCACTCTCTGCATCACTCTCAACCATATCTTCTGACACAAGCCCATGGGCTGTGTAGGGCCGTGACACCTCCTCTCCCTCTCCATACCCATCCCTTCCCCCTCCTCCACCTGCTACTGCCCCCACTCCTGCTCCTGCTCCTGCCCCTGCTCCTGCTCCTTCGCTGTACCTCCCTCCCGGACCAGCCGTCATCACCGAACCAAAACCCAAGCCTCCAGCGCTGCTCGCTCCGCTCGCCGTGCTATCTTGCTGTGGGGAGTCCACCGAACCTAAATCCAAGGTTCGACGCACAGACGTGGCCGAGGGTGGAGACTTCCCTGCTGACAAGGCAGCAGCATCGCCACCAGCAGCAACACCAGCAGGGGTGGAATCAGGCGTTCCAGAAGCAGCGTTAATTGCTGCAGCAGCAGCATTAGCAGCTGCCAGGCTCTTTGCAACCGAAGCAGGGTTGAAGGGAGAAGCAGTAGTAGATGCTCTACTGCTGGTGGATGCAGCAGCAGATACAGGAGAAACCGGAGACACGCCAGATGTTGGAGAGAGAGAGAAGGATGACGCCAGGTCAGCCAAACTCGGCATCGCTGCTCCTCCTGACCCCCTTCCTCCTGCTCCTCCTGCTGCTGCTCCTGCTTTACCCGCGCTGCCACGGGACCAGCCTTGGAAGGGGAATCCAAGAATCTCCTTGGAATCACCAGGTGAGGCCGATGCTGCACTCTCCTCTTGCACTGCTGACGTCGAATTCTCCCCATCGGTCTCCTGCCCCTCTCTCTCCCCTTCCTTTCCTCCAGCTCCTGCTTCTGATTGCTTGGTCTGCTTTTCCTCCGCTCCTGCTCCTGCCCCTCCCGCAACCACCCCTTCCATCATCCCGTCCTTTCTCCCCCTTCCCCCTCCCTCTCCCTCTCCTCCTGCTGTAATCTGCAGCACAGGCGTCGAATCCATCACAATTTCCTCCACCTCCTCCTCTTCCTCGTCCTCGTCCTCCTCCCCATGCCTCTGCACGCCAATCATAGCCTCGTTTGAATCCGCATCCTCATCCTCTTCTGGAGAGAAGAAGTCAGCTGGACCGGACGGAGCCGAGCCCATGCTCTTCTCCTTCTTCTTCCTCTTCTTCTCCTCCTCCTTCTCCTTCTCCTGCTTCTCCTTCTCCCCGTTCTCCTTGGAACCTCCTGGCCCTTCCCCTCCTGTATTCGCAGCACCATCAACCTCTTCTGCTGCCATCCCCTCTCCCCCCTTCCCATCCTCCACCTCTCCCTCTCCCCCACCCTCCTCCCCTTCTCCTTTGCCAGTTTCAGCAGCTGCTGACGCCCCAGCCGCTCCCTTCTCCTCCTGCTCCTTGGATTTCGGCCTGGGGAACGGGTCTTCGTTTTCAGCCAATGGGGTGTCGCCAATATCCCGCACCACCACCAGCTCTTCAAACTGCACGTCGTCCCACTCGTCGTCCCAGTCTGTTGCTTTCTCCTGAAGATTCGCCTGCCAGCCTGGACAAAACGGAGAAAGACGGAGAAGCCACTTGGCGAAGCATTAGTTAAAAACACAACAGTAACCCACACCAGTTGTTGCTTTCTCCTGGCGAATGAAATGATCATTCCTCAGCACATGCGCATATCTTGTCGGCACTGATTCACGAGAAACCTACTGAACATATCTACAAGATATCTTGTCACAAAAGTCTACACTCTCCAAAGTCACTCCCATCCCACAGCAACACATGGAGAAAAAACCAACACTTAAACAGAGAGTGCGCTTGAAATCCGCAACAGAGGGACCACTTAATGCCCAAGCCCAATGACAATGGTAGGAGGCACGTAACAAGATTGACTGATGCCATGATCGCACAATGTCATGATTCGAATGCTTACCAAAGGGAGTTTCGGATCCCACAAGGGGCCGCACTTTGAGCCCGATGGCAGTGGCATGCGCGAACACCGCCTTGCGCATCTCCTCCACCTCTAGAGCCAAGCGGTCCGCCTTGTCCTGTTTGTCGAAAAGAGTGATCAAGGGATAATATAAACACCATGAGGGGCAACGAGAGTGGCCTCTCCTCCACCTCCAGAGCCAGGCGATCCGCCTTGTCCTGCAAGTCAAGGAGTGAGGGACGTTGGATAGTGAGATAACACGAGGAATAACGTGAGGGGCAGACAGCAGGGGCATGGGCGAACACTGCCTTGCGCATCTCCTCCACCTCCAGAGCCAGGCGGTCCGCCTTGTCCTGGTGATGGGATGTGGACGGGGCACAAGACACCCATGAGGGAGTGTGGGCAGCAGAGAAGACGGCAGTGGCATGCGCGAACACCACCTTGCGCATCTCCTCCACCTCCAGAGCCAGGCGGTCTGCCTTATCCTGATGATGATGCTGATGAGGAGGAGGTAAAAGCAAGTCATGGAGCGAGATAGCTTGAGTGAGTACAGAAGTGATCATGGCAATGGCATGCGCAAATACGATTTTTGAGTCCACTCAAGAATCGACTCATCACACGAGATAGCTTGAGTGAGTACAGAAGTGATGATGGCAATGGCATGCGCAAATACGATTTTTGAGTCCACTCAAGAATCGACTCATCACACGAGATAGCTTGAGTGAGTACAGAAGTGATGATGGCAGTGGCATGTGCAAATACCCCTAGCACTGCACAGCACAGCACTCACATTCACTACAGAAGGTAAGTGGTTTGTCACTCATTAACCCCTTGCACCACACCACACCACACCACACCACACCCCACCACACCCCACCCCACCGCATCCCACCCCACCCCACCCCACCCCACCCCACCGCACCACGCCACACCACACCTGCAGCAGCTGGTTGGGGTCGCCTCCTCGGTCAAGCCTTGACGTTGCGTTCATGATGATGTGAGCCTTCTCCTGGGAGAGGGATGAGTGGAGAGGGGTGGAAAAGGGTGGAGAAGGTGGAGAAGGGTGCAGGGTAGGGTGGAGATGGGTGCGGGATAGGGTGGAGAGGAGGCAGAAGGAAAGAAGATGCAGAGGGAGGAGAGGGACTGACGTGGCGTTTATGACCATCTGAGCCTTCTTCTGTGAGAGGGATGGGTGGAAATGCAGCAGATGCAGAGCAATGTCAGCAATGTGAGGGATGCAGAGGGGTGCCAGCGGGGTGCAGAGGTATGTAGAGGTATGCAGGGGAATGCAGAGGGATGCAGAGGGATGCAGTGTACCTGCATCTGCTGCAGTGCCCGCTCCTCTGCTGCAAGCTTCCCAGCTGACAGCTGAGCCGCCTTGTACTTGTACTTGTACTTGCACTTACCACACGACAGTTTATCTCACCTTGCTCACACTACCCCACCTTTGGGACGTCTCAAAAGTCACTGCCTTGTACTTGTACTTGCCGCACGACAGTCTATCTCACCTTGTTCACACTACCCACCTACCTGCATCTGCTGCAGCGCCCGCTCCTCTGCTGCAAGCTTCCCAGCCGACAGCTGAGCCGCCTTGTACTTGTCGTCATACTTCCGGGCCAGTTCCTCCATCTGTCATGCCAGGAACGTGGAGAGAAGAGGGGGATAGGAGGGAGGGGAGAGGAACGGGGAGAGGAACGGGGAGAGGGGAGATTAAGCGCCTAAGTCAGTGCACCTAGCTTCCCAGCCGACAGCTGAGCCGCCTTGTACTTGTCGTCATACTTCCGGGCCAGTTCCTCCATCTGTCATGCCAGGAACGTGGAGAGAAGAGGGGGATAGGAGGGAGGGGAGAGGAACGGGGAGAGGGGAGATTAAGCGCCTAAGTCAGTGCACCTAGCTTCCCAGCCGACAGCTGAGCCGCCTTGTACTTGTCGTCATAATTCCGACCTAGTCCTCCATCTGGCACCGGGAAAACGGGGAGAGGGGAGAGGTGAGGAGAATGGAGAATGGAGACCATGCATTTGCACGTAGCATCCCAGCAGGCACCCCAAAGTGGAACCAGATTTCTGAGGCGCCTACAAAAATTGCCTCTAAATCGCGTCAAAATTGCCTCAAAATCGCCTCAAATTCGCCTCACTACAGACTTCCAGCAGAGATTTGAACTGTCTTGCACAACAGAAACCTGTCAACGTGCTCCCCAAGCTAAGATATTTAAAAAACAGTAAAAGACGAACTGAATTCAAGACTCAAGCTGTGAAAATCATGTGAAACGTAGTTTGAAACTCCCAAAATAGACAAACCTGCTTTTGTGATCACCAGTACTCTGCCGCCACATCAGCATGCCCAGCCCACCCCCTGTTTCCGCCACGTCAGCATGCTCACCTCCTTTTTCTCCACATCAGCCTGTTCAGAGACGTCAGCAAGGCGGAGGTCACAGCGACTCTTGAACATGACCTGGAAAGGGGATGGGATGGGATGGGATGGGATGGGATGGGATGGGATGGGATGGGGTGGGATGGGACACACAGAGAGAGGAGGAAAAGTTCAATCTGAGAGACGTCAGCAAGGCAGAGATCACAGCGACTCTCACAGTGAAAACAACAGAAATTGAGGTGACTTCTGAGTCGACTCAATAGTCACATGCATAGAGGAGGAGAGATACAGATTGAGAGGGACCGTGTCATCATCACACCACTGATAAACGCCCTTACAATGCCACGTTTCTCACAGTGAAAACAACAGAATTTGATTGATTGCGACTTACAATCTCCTGCATTTTGTCACGGAAAAACAACTTTTGAGGCGCCTCAAAAGTGATTGCGACTTACGATCTCCTGCATTTTGTCACGGAAAAACACCGCCTTTTGAGTCGACTCAAAAGTCACCTCATGATTGATTGCGACTTACGATCTCCTGCATTTTGTCACGGAAAAACACCGCCTTTTTCTTCTGATCCATGGCAGCGTCCTGAGCACACAGACAACAGACAGCAGGGGAGGCGTGAGTGGGAGGGAGGTTGCATTAGAAGCCAGACTCGTTGCGTGCAAGTGCGCGCATGCACGCACACATGTGTGTGCAAGTGCATGCACAAAAACACAGCCTATTTCTTCTGATCCATGGCAGCGTCCTGAGCACACAGAACAGACGACAGGGAGGCGTAGGGAGGTGTGGGGGAGCATTAGGTTAGGGAGCAGATTCGTAGCACTGTGTGCAAGTGCATCGCGTCCTGAACGCACAGACAACAGAAATGGGACAGAAAAGGAGGGGGGGGGGAAGGAGGGATGGTTGAGGAGGTGACATGATAGCACGAAGAAACTTCATTTTGTGGCATGAGAAAGCACAACACAAGTGCATGTCCCAACACATGTCCCCAAATGCATGTCCCTCTCAGTGCATGTTCCAACTTCCAACAACGCATGTGCTGATGCATGATGAATGTCTCAGTCAGTGCATATCCATACTCTTCCATGCTAGTGATCGCACCAAGAAGGAAACTTAAGTGCGGTCACAAAAGAGGGAAAAAATCAATCGGGAAGAGAAATTCCCAGTCAAAGAGATGATGCATCCAGAGAAAGATAACATACATAAAAGAGAAAAAACAGTCAGTCAGACTTCTTTTAAGAGCAAATCCATCCAGAGATGTATCAATAGATGATTACCTTTCTGGGTGCTCCTTTTGTTGGGGAGACCAGGACACCTGCAACGCCAACAGCACAAAGAGATAGAAGTCAATTTCTACTTGCTGCCGCACACGTCACCTCCTTAGTTAATGACAGCATACGGATAGCAGCCCAAGAAACGCACAACGTTACCAGAGAACTCAAATCCTTGATTTTGCTGTGTGTTTATTGGCTTTTAGATGGGAAAGGGGAGGAGGGAAGGGGGGGGAGGGAAAAGGGAAGGTGGGGGATGGAAACGCTGCAGTGGTTTACCTGGATCGCGCTGCCACGTTGGCACGTTCACCCCCTGCGAGTGCTGAGTCAGCGCCGCCTGCGCCTCGGCCAATCGTTTCGCAGCGATGGCCGTGCGCTGGTCCTGCACCGGTTCGTCCACGTGGAAGCCCTTCGGCAGTGTGGGCGGCAGCTTTCGTCCTGACTTGTAGCGCTCGATGAGGTAGGAGGCGGTGCAGAACTCGCGGAGAGTCAAGTTGCCGTCCTTGTCCTCGTCTGAGAGGTCCCACACCTGCTTGAGTACATCTGAAAAGGGGGGCAAACAAGGTGCATTTTGAGGCGCCTCAAAATGCACCTCACTACACGCGGATTTTGAGGCGCCTCAAAATGCACCTCACTACACGCGGATTTTGAGGCGCCTCAAAATGCAACTCGCGAAGAGTCAAGTTGCCGTCCTTGTCCTCGTCTGAGAGATCCCACACCTGCTTGAGTACATCTGCGGGACAGGAGCATGGGGATAAGGGTGTGTGAGTGCCGAGACAACGGAAAGTGCATGTTCAGAATAAGTGTGAAATGACAAGTTGCCGTCCTTGTCCTCATCTGAGAGGTCCCACACCTGCTTGAGTACATCTGAAAAGGGGGGCAAAGAAGGGGTGGGTTTGGTTTAGGAAGGAGGGGGGGAAGGAGAGAGGGAGGGGGGGAGCGAGGGAGGAAGACTTGATGGGGTCCCAACGGGTTTAGGATAAGTAAATGTGCCTCAACGCGTGATGAGGTAGGAGGCGGTGATCTTGCCGTCCCTGTCCCCATCCACGCCCACAAACAATACCTTATATCCCACCATTCCCAAGGCGCAAAAGGGGAGAGGAAGGTAGGCACTCACCAATAGGCACTTGGGAAGCCATGAGCACCTTCCTCGCCTCCTTGCCGGTGATCTTCCCATCCCTGTCCCCATCCACGCCCACAAACACCCATGCTCACCCACACCCACCCATCCTCACCGCACAAGCACTCACCAATAGGCACTTGTGAAGCCATGAGCACTTTCCTCGCCTCCTTGCCGGTGATCTTGCCATCCCTGTCCCCATCCACGCCCACAAACACCCATGCTCACCCATACCACCCCATCCTCACCGCACAAGCACTCACCAATAGGCACTTGTGAAGCCATGAGCACTTTCCTCGCCTCCTTGCCGGTGATCTTGCCATCCCTATCCGCATCGATGCCCACAAACACCTGCGCATACCGCTGTGCCTCCGCCACCCCCATTCTCGGCCATGGCTGGGGATCCCCCGGGACCATCAGAAACCCCTCTCCTTCCTGCCCCTGCGCGCCCCCTGCTGCTGCGCCCGCCCCTTGCCCTGCTGCCCCTGCTGCTGCCCCTGCTCCCGCGAATGCTGTTCCTTCTGCTGCTTGCCCCCCACCTGCTGTTACCACAGCGGAAGACACAGCAGCTGGAGGCACTACAGCCACGTCTTTCATCACAAAAGCATCCAGTGCTGCTGCTGCTGCTGCGTCTGCGGATTTGGGTAGAGTGGAGGTGGGTGGAGCAGGACGGGAGGCGGATTGCTGGGAAGGAGGGGGTTGAGAGGAGGCGGAGAAAGCAGAAGGACCAAAAGCAGAAGGTCCTGCTGTTCCCATCACCCCTCCCATCCCTCCCATCGCTGCCTGCTGCTGCTGCATCTGCTGCTGTAGCTGCATCTGCTGTTGCTGTTGCATTTGCTGCTGCTGTTGCATCTGCTGCTGCTGTTGCATCTGCTGCTGCTGTTGCATCTGCTGCTGCTGCTGTTGCATCTGCTGCTGCTGTTGCATTTGCTGCTGTCGCTGCATCATCTGCTGCTGGTATTGCTGCTGCTGCTGCTGCTGCTGGAATTGCTGCTGTGCAGCAGGCATCTGGGCGGCAGCAGCACCTGTGGCAGCACTTTGGGCGGCAGCAGAACCCTTGGCACCACTCTGGGTCTGGGCGGCAAACTTCTTGCCTCCAAGCACGCCAAAATCCGCAAACGGATCCTTCTCTGCTGCAGGCTTCGCAGAAGCAGGCTGCCAAGAAGGCCCGGATGCAGGCTGACCTGGCTTTGGCCCAGGCTGACCTGGCATTTGGCCGGGCTGACCTGGCATGGGGCCAGGCTGACCTGGCATCGGGCCAGGCTGACCTGGCATAGGAGCACCTGCTGGCTGACCACGGCCGTATGCGGGTCCAAGAGGCCCTGGTTGCAAGCCCCCGGGTGTGCCACTCTGCATGGTCCCCGGCGCACCAGACGCACCAGATTGCTGCATGGTGCCTGGCGCACCAGTCTGCATGTTCCCCTGCATACCCTGCACGTACTGCTGCTGCTGCGGCTGAAACTGCTGCTGCCCGTACTGCTGCTGCTGCTGCTGCTGTGAATACTGTTGCTGCGGTTGTTGCATGCCTGGTCGAGGTCCCATTCCCCCCATCATTCCGCCTGGGCCCGGCCCCATGGCTCCCATGCCTCCCATACCCCCCATCATGCCCCCCACAGGGCCCATCCCAGCCATACCAGCCATCCCCTGTGGCATCGGCGCGCCTTGGACTGGCATTCCCCTTCCATACGCGCCCTGCAGGACGTGGTACAGCAAACAAAGAGAGGGAGAGACGAAGGAAAGAGAGTAACAGTCACAAATCATCATGCCTCCTATGAGGCTCATCCCAGCCATCCCAGGCATCATCTGTGACATTGTTGTACCTTGGATTGGCATTCCCTTTTCATACACCCCCTGACCGTTGGTAGAGCAGACGAAGGAAGGGGCAGTCGATTTTTCAGAGACAATTTTGCAGTTCCAACAATAAAATACTCCTGATGATAAGAAGCTGAAGTAAAGTAACCAACACGCAAACTTTGCGTGGATTTTCGAGTCGGACTTACCTCTGAATTTCTCTTGGACTCACCAATACTGGTGGTGGTGCTCCCGGTGCTCTAAACGGACCTTTGTTAAGTCGTTCTGACCTCTTCTGTTCTCTCGGAATTACTTCAGAGGCGCCTCAAAAGGTGCTCTAAATGGACCTTTGTCGAGTCGTTCTTACCTCTTCTATTCTCTCAGAATTACCTGCTGCACTGGTGGTGCTCCCGGTGCTCCAGGTCCGGGAGCGCCCGAACCGACCGGACCTGGCAGCCCGCCTGGTCTGGCAGCAGCTCCGGGCCTCGGAGGCACGGTAATCCGAGGTGCGGGGATCTGGGCCACTGCCGGGCCTGAGAAGGTGGCTCGGGCGACGTCTGGGTTGATGTCGCGACCGGATTGGGCAACGGTGATGAGGCGAAGGGCGTGGAAGAACTCTGGGCGGTGGAGGAACCCCGCTTGGCGCGAGTCCGCATACTGCCAGACCTGTGGGGCGAAGGGACGAAGAAGCAAGAAAGTTAGAATTTTTTTTTAGGAGCCTCAAAAGGCATACTGCCAGACCTGCAAAGGGACGGAGTAACAAGAAAGTTTGAAATTCTACCAGGCCAATGATTCATCCAGCACACGCCATAAAATGCAACAAAAACACACAATTTTAGAGGACTACGTGGGCAATAAGAGAGGAGAACATGTCGAGTGGTCGCAACAATCACAGGAACCTGAGAGGTTGTTTAAAGGTCTGATAGAAAATCGTAGCAAGCCCATGAAAAGAGGTTGTTCCAATAATGCCAAAGGTGTCTCCTGACAATCTGATAAAAATCAAGACATGCCGAGGCATGGCATCCACAGGCCAACAGGTATGGGAGAAGATACGTGCCTTTGCGAGGGTCATCTGAGGGAGGCCGCACCCATAAACGAAGGTTACGGCTTAAAAGCCTTACAAACAGGTTCAACAGCAGCTGATACGTGCCTTGGCGAGGGTCATCTGGGGGAGGCCGCATCCCTGAAAAAAGGCGACGGCTTCAGCGCCACTGATCCGGCCGTCCCTGTCCGCGTCTGCCGCTTGGAAGTAGTGCTCGAAGGCGTCCATGCTGGGCTGCATGATGACCGTTGCTGCAGCGTACCGCTATTCCCTGGGGAGAATGAGAAAGAAGAGAGAGATCATGTGGAAAGAAGGAGAATAAGGCCTCGTTGATCCGGCCATCCCTGTCCGCATCGGCCGCTTGGAAGTAGCGCTCGAAGGCATCCGTGCCGCTGGGAGCCGCGTGCGGCTGCATGATGATGATGACTGGCGCGTTGCGATGAACACGATTGCTGTGTAACGCGCTATTTCTTCGCAATGCTATTCCTCCGTACGGCTATTCCTGCGTGATGTAAGAAAAAAGAAACACGAATAGGGTAAGGTTCCTGGCGTTTTCGATTGAAAGGCCGCAGCTTACAGAGCCAGGCGAGTGGAAATGATCGCGATACGGTGAGCTGGAAAGTAGTCCCAAGAAATAGAGAAGCAGAAACGAGAGCACTATGAGATGCAGAAAGGACAGGATGGATAAAATGAACACAAACAATAACATGAATTTCTCAAGAAGTAGTAGGGTATTCAGACGCTAACAAGTAGTCGAATGGCCACGTGAAAGTAGAGTTGTTTTGAGACGTCTCAAACCATGTAAGCTGGCACGTCGAAACCTAGAAAGAAGGACATGAATTTCTCGAGAAATCAGAGAGGTATTCAGACGCCAGTGAGTAGTCGAATGGCCTGATCCCCTTTCGACAAAAAACACGTTGCACATTGATCGAGTTCTAAAAACATTTGGCACGCGAGGAGCTCCCATGAACATCTATGGATAAACAAATTGACATAGACTCTGAAAGAACGGACATGCCTGCAGCAATACCTCGCGACGCGGGCTCTGCAACTCTGTCACCGTCCTGGATGACGTAAGTGGAGTACTGATTAGAGCTAAGCATAGATAAGAGAAATCGGGATTCTCCGTACCTCGGCAAGTCCTAGGATGACTGTTCTGCCGACCACATCCCAAGGAGCAGCAGACCAGAGCCTGCAAAATCCAGATCAGGGGAGAAATAAATGGCAAAAAACTATCAGTAATAAATGGCGGAAGCACAAGCTTGCATTGTGTCGTTTACGTGACGTCCTTTACGGAGGATGGCTGAAGTGTCTATCGTAGAACTTTGTCACATGCCCGAGTTGGAGGCAGTCTGGTTGTGACTGGACGAGAGCAAACAAATTCGCACATAGCGCTGCCCGTTTCTAAAGCGTTACACTGCAACAGTGGTACTAACGAATCTGCCCGTAAAGGGCTACTTTTACCGAAATTCCGAGAATGTGGCCAATCCCTGACCAGGCCACCGCCAACACACATCCCTTCCGTTCACTTCAAGAAAGAGATGCGAAGCGATAACTAGGCAGAAATCAAAGAGTTTCCGGGTTAATGTGCGGTCTCACAAGGTTCTGCGGGATGACAGGACACCTGTCCAGAACCACTTCAGTTGAGGCATCCTCCAAGTGCAACAAGACCAATGATTCTCCCAAGTCTCGAGGATTCTCAGAGAGGACAGTGGAGCCAACATCAAGGCAGAACTAACATCAAGGCAGAGCCAACTTCAAGGCAGAACCAAGGTAGAGCCAAATTTTCCAGCTTTTCTTCCTCCATTATTTCAGACTCTTGGTCCTTTGCTTTCAGGTTCAGCAAGGTTCAACTCCGTATTGACGAACTATCGGCTGGATACGTCTCCATTCTCTGCATAATCGTTACTCTTTTCAACATTTCATCGGCTTCACCGTTTTATTTTTAGCGGGACCTCAGACATTGACGCGACCTCTGCAGATTCAGCAATCTGTAATAATTTCAGAGGAAGGGTGGATGTAATCGTAAATTACCCTAGGAACAATCACCGCATTGCAACTATGTGGTCAGTGACTGGCCTTCGCAGCAGCACAAGCACCGCTCCCAGCCTTAGTGATGATCCCGAGGCTCCAACACCCACAACAGCTCCCGCGGAAACCAAATCCGGGTGGTTCTCTCGCTCGCGCGGAAGCTCTAGCGCGTCATCCACGCAAGATTCCACGCGCATTCGCCAGAGGCGGTCGGGTCGAAAAGTGCGAGGGTTCGGCCGTATGGGGTCGGGCATGGAGGATGAAGAAGAGGGAGATGAAGAGGAGGATGCGGAGACATTGGGGGAGATTGTGGGGGAGGACTCGGCGGGTGAGAATGGTAATGCTATATCGAGGACAAACGACGACTCTTCGTCACCAAATTCAGGAACAGCAGCAGGAGCAGGAGCAGAACCAGGAGAAGAAATCGATGTAACAAAAGCAGCAGCAGTAGCAGTAGCAGCAGCAACAGAGTCAGCGACACATGCAAGCACGAAAGCAAAGGGTCCACTGGAATCTGAATCCGCAGTCGGGTTGGAATCTCCCACGGCGACCGAGACAGACCGACTGCCAGAAAGCAACACGAAGAGCAGCGACGACGCGATTGAAACGCCTGACGACGACGGGCGGAAGGCGATTCTTGGGTCGACTCAAGAAACGACTGAGAGCCCTGACGACGAGCGGAAAGCGAAGACCGGCAGATCAAGTAGCAAGTCGAACCTGGTTGGGGGGTTGTTTGGCGTCTTTAGGAGGGATTCAGGGACTAAGTCCCAGAAGGCCTCTGGTGACGGGAGGTTCTTCAAGAGCAAGAGCACGGGTGGGGCTCTTGGTGGGGGAACCAAGCGAGAGAAGGGAGAAAAGGGAGATGAGGGAGACGAGGGGATAAAGGGAGAGGAGGGACAGGAGGGAGAGAGGCGTGAGGAGGGAGAGGAGAATGAGGAGGAGGAGGAAGAACTAGAAAAAGTGGCTCTTGCAGGGAGGAGGCGAAGCACAGATGCCGAGCGAGGCAAGGGAGAGGCTTCTGGTGTGGTAGAGAGAGAAGAGAAGGGGACAGAGAGCGCTGGGAGCGCGTCAGGTTCGGAACTTGGCTCGGTTTCAGGCTCGGCGTCAGGTTCGGCGTCAGGTTCGGGGCTGGCTTCGGCGGATGGAGCAGCACATGGAAGGGATGATTCGGAGGGCGAGTCCCAACCTGCCCCGCGGAAGGTAAGAAAGACTAGGGTTTGTATTACGAGTGGAATGGAAGCAATAGTGCAAGTTTTGAGTGCAAGCAGAGTGGAAGTACGAGTCTAGAACAAATGTGCATACGCCACGTTCACAATACTGCCATGTGGCTCCATATTTGTGATGGTGACCTCAAGTGTTACACCGCCTGGCTTGCTGTGGCTCGAAACCTTTGACTTCTGAGGCGCCTCGAAAATGCACCACCTTGCTTCCTGTGTGACTTGCATTGCAACCTTCAATTCCTCTGCATGATCCGAAGATATCGGCTGCAATGTCCTTGCATTGCAACCTTCAATTCCTCTTGCATGGCAGAGAGAGACCCTGTGGGGATTCATCAGAAGGACGTCCAGCACTGTAACAGGTGAGGCATCTTATGGGAAAGGTTCAGGTCTAATGCCTCTCAATATCAGATATGAGGCGAAGCATATGGCGTAGCGTATTGGAAATGTGGGCGATATGAGTCAAGAATATGAGGAGGATGAGGCAGTTTTGCGCTTCGGCATATGAAACACGTGCAGCCTCTTGGTATTTAGCACATGAGTCTAATCAGTATTCGATCATCTTCATCGATTCTATTCCACATTGACCAGTTGACTCCCTCTCTCTTCATGCTTGTGACTTGCTCCATTCCACTTCTCTCCCTCCCCTTCACTTCAGCGCCCAAGGCAGAAGCGCACCAACAAATCATCTCCTCCTCCAGTCCTCCCCACGACCCCCCTGACCAACCTTGACGCCTCTCACTCTCTTTCTTCCCCTTCTGTCCCTGCCTTCCAGTTTCGCCCTCTGTTCCTCCTTTATTCCCCAGCGCCTAAGGCAGAGGCGCACCAACTAATCATCTCCTCCAGTCCGCCCCATGATCCCCCTCTTACCCTTGACGCCTCTCACACTCTTTCTGCCCATCTCTCCTTTTTTTCCCATTCCCCTTCTCTCCCTCCTTCCCCCCCCCAGCGCCCAAGGCAGACGCGCACCAGCCAATCATCTCCTCCTCCAGTCCGCCTCACGATCCCTCTGACACCCTTGACGCCTCTCAAACCCTCCCTTCCCGTTTCCCCCTGCATTCCCGTTTCGCCCTCCATCCTTTTTTGCCCATCCAGCGTCCAAGGCAGACGCGCACCAGCCAATCATCTCCTCCTCCAGTCCGCCTCACGATCCCTCGGACACCCTTGACGCCTCTCAAACCCTCCCTTCCCGTTCCCCCCTGCATTCCCGTTTCGCCCTCCATCCTTTTTTGCCCATCCAGCGCCCAAGGCAGAAGCGCACCAGCCAATCATCTCCTCCTCCAGTCCGCCCCATGATCCCCCCGACACCCTTGACACCGTCTCACCATCCTTCCCTGGGAAAGAAGGCCGCACTGAGGATTTTCCGGGCAGTTCTGGTGCTCGTGGTACACTCGGGCAGGACGGGCGTGAGGAAAAGGAGGAGACAGGGGAGAAGGATGGGCAGCAGGAGGGGAAGAAGGGCGGAGGAGAACGCGAGAGTGAAACGGATGGTTTGGTCGTAGGGAAGGGGCCTTATCAGGGGGGAAATTCGGGGGAGGATAAGGAGGAGAATGAAGGAAGGGATAAGGGCAAGGAGGAGGGGGAGAGTGAGGGCAAGGGTCATGAGGAGAAGGAGGGAGAGGGTGCAGGAGGGAAAGCCAAGGGGAGTGGAGGGGGGAGTGGAGGAGGGGCAAAAGGAGGGAAAGGAACAGGGTTACTGGGAGGTGGGAGTGTGATTCTGAACGTGGGCTCAGTTCCTAGAAAGCTGTTCTCCTTCATGCCACGATCTTCTTATGCTAAGCTTAAGGTGAGCGGTGAAGAGGGGTGGAGCTCGGTTGAGCATGGTCAGGAGTGGGTGTAGTGGGGTAGTGACGTTTCATGGCTTACCAGGGAGTAAGCACTCCTTTCTTCTTTCAGTAGGAGATCATATCGTGGCTCTTCCTGTTTTAGTAAGCCTTTCTTCGTCTCTCTCCCCTCTCTCTCACTGGTTGGGAACACTTCAGACCTGATCCACGACCCCCGCCGAAACTGCCTAAAGCTTTTATGCTCTTAAATCTTTCCCTCTCCTTTTTTTATTCCCTCGCCCTCACCAGTTGGGAGCACATGCAGGCCTAACACCCCTCAACACCGCTTCAACATCATCCACTGATGACCCCACGCCCATCGCCACGCCCATTGCCACGCCCATCGCCACACCCATACCCACACCCTTACCCAAAACCTTACCCCCACGCATCCCCACACCAATCCGCACCACTGAATCCGCTGCCACTGCTGCTGCCACTGCTGCTGCCGCCGCTGCAAGCACTGCAGACAGCAGTGCAGCAGGGCGATTGAACCTTGACCTGCCCACCCCTCGCTTCCCCTTGTTCTCTCCTGCGGCTCTCCAGTCCCCTGCTGGTGACCTAGCCTCCTTTGCCCCCTTCCGCAGCACCACAGCCACCAGTGGTGGGGTTGCAGGTGGAGGGGATTTCTTAGCTGTTAAGAAAATCGCGCCACCAGTGCAGCATTCGGCAGCACATCGCGGCCCTCTCGCTCCTGCTGGCGACTTGGCCGCGTTTGCTGCCTTTGGGAACACTGCTTCCAATCCTTCAACCCTAAACACTTCAACAAACCCTTTCTTAAGTGCTATGGGAGACCCAGCAGCGGCAGGGGGGGATGGAGGGCGAGGAGGAGGCGGTGGTGTGGAATCCGGCGCAGCAATAACAGCAGCTGGAGCGGCAGCAGCAGGAGCAGGAACAGCAGGAGCAGGAACAGAGGGCGAGGACTGGGATGCCATGTTGCTTGCTTCCTTTGGTCGCTGTCACACCATCGACGGGTCATTCAGAGAAGCCATGCGCGCTGCTAATGCGCAAGAGGAGACTGAGACAGCATGGGACGACGATCAGGCAGAGGAGGAGAAGCAGGCACAAGGCAGCCTAGCACAGGATTTCCCAGCACAGAACTTGTTAGCAGAGAACAACAACCAGGGACAAGATTATCAGGCGCAGAACAAGCAGGTGCTTGGGGCGTTCAGGCAGTATGAGTTGGTTCAGGAGTCAGGGAGGGTCGCAGGTGGCAGGGGCTCAGGTGCAGGTGGAACTTCAGGTGGATTTTCAGGTGGGAATGCGACCTGGGAGCATGAAAACAGCCTGGCAGCAGCAGAGGCGGCAGCAGCAGCAGCAGAGGCAGCAGCAGTAGCAGCAGCGGAGGCAGCAACGGCAGCGGCAGTAGCTGCTGCCAAAGCAGCAGAAACAGCAGCAGCTAAAGCAGCCGCACTCGCAGCAGCCAAAGCAGCAGCAGCAGCAGCTGCAGCACCAGCAGCAGCAGCAGCAGCTGCAGCACCAGCAGCAGCAGCAGCACAACCACCTGCGGCAATCAGTGCAGCATCTGTGGCATCAGAGAACAGCAACTGGGCTCGTTTTGATGCCTTTGAGCCCACCACACTACCTGCCACTGCCACTGCTCCTGTGGCTGCCTACGCTCCTCCTGCCATTCCCAAACCAATAGCCGGACCAAGTTTTCCTGCTCCTCATAGTTCTCCCAATCCCTTCTTAAATCCAGGTTTGAAAGAACAGCCCGTGCCCCCAGCTAGTGGTATGAGCCCCTTTGCACCTTCTGGAAATTCCTTTCCTTTACAGCAGCAACAGTCACAAGCCCAGCAACAGACCAATCCATTCCTTTCTCCGGGCACAAGCAGCATCGGCTCGGCTAATAAAGTGGGAGAATCTGAACCCCTGTTTGCCAGTACAGGGTCTGCTTATAAAGAATCGTCTGTCGAGGCGCACCAGGAGGGGCAATGGCTGGGGAAGCAGGAGGGGCTGTGGCAGAGCATGGAGCAAGGGGCTGGCTCCAAGGGGAATGGGCAGAAACAAGGTGCTTCCTTGATGACTCAGAAGCAAGCTGGTTCTATGGCTCAGAAACAACCTGCTTCCATGGCTCAGAAGATTCTTGCCAGTAACCCATTCCTTGTGATTCCCGGCATGAGCAGTAGTGGTAATGGTGCTGGTTATAACGAGGATAGCAGGGGTTTGCTTGGTGGGGAGGATACTCCCAAGGGACTGCAGGAAGTATCGCCTGGGAATCTGCATACAAATCCAAGCATTCAGCCACAGCAGCAGCAGTGGCAACAGCAGTACTCACACCAGCAGCAGCAGCAGTATCAGCAGCAACAGGGGAACTACGCTGCTAGTCTGACACACTCGAATGCTAAACAGCAGGAAGAAGCCCGACGGCTGATGGATGTGAATCTAGGACTCAATGTGGCCGAAGCAGTTGTGACTGAACCAGGAGGAGGTTCTAATGAAGGGAAGGGGGGGCATTCTACAGCCGGACCAATGTACACTGAGCCTGAGTCCCCTGGGTGGCCTAGTACTGCGTCTCAAGATGATCCAATGTAAGTCCACAACAACTGCACATTTAATTTATGTGCATGTATTTATGCCCCCTTTTTCCATGTTTAGCTGGACTGTCCGGGTAGCATGCCTCTCAAGCACCGCAGTGGTAGCATGTCCTTCAACATCGAGCACTTCGCACTTCCTTTTGTGATGTGTGCCTTCTCCTTTCAGGGAGTCCCCGGCTGCGCTTCTTAGTGGCTGGTCAGATTCGAAGTCCAAGGTTTCCAGCACTATGCCTACTGCCATGATGCCATCAACATGGCTTGGCCGAGGTGGTCATACACGACTGGGGAAGTAAGGTTGCTTATGATTTTTGTATTGAGTATGTGACAAGGCGGTTGCTGAGGAGGTATGATATAATTAATTTAGCGTGAATTGTAGTTGCCGCGTAGGAAAGAAACATTAGAGAGCGTGCTGGTTTCTTCAGTCTTTAGTGCAAGCTCCACAAATAGGTGCAGAGGATGAGTGTATTGTAGATATTTATATGTTTCGCATGGGATGTAATATGATGGTATGGCGATAATCGCATCTGCGTGTCTCGGACCCATCACACACGGCGTGGTGAGCGCTGGTTCTTTTGTTGTGGTGGTCGGTTACCACGCAGCCTCCATCTCCGCCACCCACACTATGACACATCATGACCGAGGTTTTCTCAGGCACGTCTCAGCTCGACAAACAACGCGACGCGGTTCCGACCCCTGATATTTCCTCGCGTCGCAATTTCACAATTCGTCCCACAAATATATTGCGCTCGCTCTCCTTCCCCACCCACCCGCCCCCTCCCATTCCCAACCCAAATCATCGCGAAACAAGCACCTCACAAGCGGCATACAGCACACCAGCGCCTGCTTGTGGGAGTGATTTGTGATTTCCCTGGTTCTGTTGTCCTGGCCCAGACCAAATCCCTCCGTGTTCCTGATTTCCGTCCCAAAACACTAACTCGAGACACCCTCCCGACCCGAGGGGCCGAGTCCCACCCAACCACTTACCTACCTAATCAGTCAAGCCGCACTAGCCAGAAAGCACCTTCCCCATAAACGCGTTAGCTAACCTAGCCACCTGCTTCGTCTTTTAGTTTCTGCTGATGAAAGCCGGCCCCTCCTTGGGTCCGTTCTGTACGTACCTTGCCAGAATCTCCTAACGCATTCATCACCATGCGTTTCGGTTGCGGCGCAATGATTTCCGTCTCACACGACGTCGTTTCGCTAGTGCCTCTCGTACTCACACTCTAACGAGTCATCTCAGCACGTCGTTGGATACGCAATGTAGTAATGAAACAGCCATCAGACAGAGTTGCATTAGAGTGACATAAGTAAACCCGGACATGGGCGTTCATTTGCTGACGAACGCATGGCGCGCTCTACACAAGCCCTCTAGGCTCGGCATTTCCCGCGCTCTTTTCTCTCGCAAGGAGGGCTCGCTCGATTCATAAAAACTGGTTCTGTTTTTTAGCCGAGAGGTAGCTTCTGAGCCGAAGTTCATTCCGAAGCACCCCAAAAGCCACGCATTTGCCACGCATTTGCTGTCGCAAGGGTCCGACATTTATAGGAACCAAGTCTCGACGACTTGAGGATTGCTGCGCGCTGCCTCTGGTAACGGATCACCGCACTCTCAGCATTTCGGCTCAAAAACAGACTCGTGGGCAAAAAAAGAGCTGCGCGCTGCTGCCTCTGGTAACGGATCACCGCACTCTTAGCGTTTCGGCTCTCGGCGTATTTCACGCAGATTTCTGCCGTTAGCACTACCCAGCGATAGCTCTAGTGCCAGTAGCACTACCCGGTAGCACCGCCAATGGGTTTCTCCCGTTCTCGCCTCCTAGCAGAAACCCGCACGGGAGAAGGCGGCGATCCTGCGCGCGACGTTCGACAACAGTTAGCAGTCCGAGAACAAGAAATCCAGCACTCTTCTCCTTTACGTTCTCAACGCCGTTCGAACGTCTCTTCCTCGCTGCTCCCTCTTGCTCGAATGCTAGCCTTACCACTACTAGCAGTCCTGCTCCTTTTTCTAGAAATTACTCCGCCTTGTCATGCCGCTCATGCCTTTCCTCTTTCCCCGCATAGAGTCGACACCCGCAGCGTGGCAAGCGTGCAAGATTCGCAATTCAGCAGTTCGGGTCGGGATGATTCGACACCCATGGAAAGAGACGACGTGGTGATTGTTAAGACGACTCAAAATGTTGATACGAACAGAAATGTGCCAGAAATAAGGAGCTCGTCTCTCGGGTTACCACCGACCAACGCGACATCCGCGACGGGTCCCCGGCGCGAGCTTCAGTTGTGGCGAAAGCGCAAGCAGCGAAAGCGAAAGAGTTCGTACATCTTCTGTTATCGGGACATGTACACGCGGCAACCAGCGGCTCTCGCGGCGCTAAAAGCGGGCCGCAATCGGCGGCGATGCCCCAGCGGGACCGTGAAAAGCGCCGGCGCGTGCTACGACAGCTGCGCTCCGGGGTATAAGGGGAAAGGCCCAGTTTGCGCGCGGCGATGCACGCTGTACGGGCCTAGCTGGGTGGACTGCGGGTACGGGTGCGCGCCGGATTACCACATGTGCGTCAAGACGACGTACCGTCAGGCTGGAGCTTTCAGCTTCTTCTTCTTTAAGGTATGCCCCCTCGCCCCTCGCGCCCTCACCCCTTGCCCCCTTCCCTTCGCGCCCTCGCCCCTCGCCCCCTTCCCTTCGCCCCCCTCCTCTCGCCCCCGACATTGGGGCTAACTGGGTTACTTGTTTTGAGAATCAGAAGAGATCAAATCTTCCTCACCCACTCACCCTCTTCTCGCTCTCCCCCACTCCCCCCCTTCCAAACCCACCGCATCACACCTATACTTACCCTTTTCCACATTCCCATGAAATCTCTCCCACCCACTCTCCCTCTTCTCTCTCTCCCCCCTTCCCCACCGCATAACACCTATACTTACCCTTTTCCACATTCCCATGAAGCTGGGTGCCTTGTTTTTAGACTTGAACCAAGTCGTAACACGGTTTAGCTCGGTTGAGCATGGTGCCTTTCCTCCTCCCTCATCCCTCCTCAGGTCTACCTACCCGGAACAGGCCCTTTCCTTGACATTGCCATGAAGCTGGGAGCCTTGATTTCATATTTTTAAGTGCCAGAACACGCTTAACAGTGTCTCTCCTCTCCTCTTCCCCTGCCCTCCCCATATCCCAGCTCTACCTACCGGGAACTGGCCCTTTCTTTGACATTGCCATGAAGCTGGGAGCCTTTGCTGCCAAGGTACGGCACAGTACGGCATGTTTTGGCACGGAACGGCATGGTATGGCATGGTATGGCACGGTACGGCACAGTATGGCACGGTATGGGAACGGCGCACATGGCATGGCACTGAATGGTATTGCATGATGTTTCGCTGTAGGGTACCTGATCTCACTGTAGCCACCTCATAATCAGACATATTTTCCTTATTCCTACTTACTCAATCAACAGCTATACAGGCGAGTGAAGCCGTCCAAGTACAGGAAGCGCAAGGACTATTCCCGTATCGAGCTGCCCACCTGCCTTCTTCTTTTCCTCTTTCTTTCTATTATGGTCCCGCCTTAACCAAACAGCTGTACAGGCGAGTGAAGCCGTCCAAGTACAGGAAGCGCAAGGACTATGCCAGTATCGAGCTGGAGACTATGGAGTCTCGAAGCATGGCCGCCACCTTCCTTGCTGCGTTCGGCCAGCCTGTCAGCAACGACAGCCGCACGCACGTCACCTTGGTCCCTGCACACGCGCAGGTAGGCCCCTCACCCTCTCTCGGTCTCTCTCAGGCCGCCACCTTCCTTGCTGCGTTCGAGGAGCCTGTCAGCAAATACAGCCGCACGCACGTCACCTTGGTTTCCCCGCATGCCCTGGTGCGAGTGTGAAGGGAGGGGGCAAGGGATGTAGGGGAAGTGGGGGCTAGGGGAATAGTGAGTGCTGGAGTCCCTCTTGCCTTCTTGCCTCTCTCCCTACCTTTTGAGAACTCTGAAAGGCACTTTTTTGATAATTCTTTCGAGAATTTGGGAGTCATTTTTGAAAATTCTCAAAAGAGGAATACTGAGTGCTGGAGTCCCAATTGCCTTCGTGCCTCTCTCCCTACCTGACTTCATACCTCCCTCCTCCCCTCTTCCCTCTCTCCCTCTCTCCCTCTCCCTCCCAACACCCCAGGACAAGCAAGCAGCGTTTTCTGCCTTCGGCGCCTCCCACTGGTGATGCACCAACCCATTGGGAAAGCAGCCAGGGCGTTGGTATTGGCAGCACGACTACTCGACACGGTGCTGAATGTGGAGGACTTGGCCTGTTCCCTACCTCACTGCCTCTCCTCCCTTACACCAGCCAGGGCGCTGGTATCAACAGTACGACTACTCGACGCGGTGCTGAATGTGGAGGTTTGGGCCCACTCCTTACCCCTCCTTTCTCCCCCGTTATCCCCGCTTCCTTCTTCCCCACCCCCCTTCTTCCTCCCAACACCCCAGGACAAGCAAGTAGCCTTCTCTGCCTTCCGCGCCTCCCACTCAGTGATGAGCCAACCCATTGGGAAAGTAGCCAGGGCACTGGTATCAGCAGTGCGATTACTGGACACGGTGGTGAACGTGGAGGACTTGGCTCACTCCCTCTCATCTCTCTCCTCGTTCCCCCTCTCTTCCCACACATCCGCCCCCCTCCTATCCTTCAGGACAAGCAAGCAGCGTTCTCCACCTTCCGCGCCTCCCACTCAGTGATGAGCCAACCCATTCGGAAAGCAGCGAGGGCACTGGTATCAGCAGTGCGATTACTGGACACGGTGGTGAACGTGGAGGACTTGGCCAAGTACGACCCCTCGGGCGTGCTCAACATGGTTGTCTCCTTCGGTCATCCCATGTGCCGCGATGGTGAGTAGTTGGGGTAATGGGGGTATGGGACGGGCAGCAGGGATGCTGTGTGTGATGTGAGGAGTGGGGGCACTCCTATCAATCAGCAGTGCGTGCTAGACACGGTGATGAATGCGGAGGACTTGGCCAAGTACGACCCGTCGGGAGTGGCAGGGCAGTATGGAGGGCAGTAAGGGGGTACGGGACAGAGCCCGTGTCCTGGTGCGGCTGCTAAACACGGTGGTGAATTTGGAGGACTTGGCCAAGTACGACCCCTCGGGAGTGCTCAACATGGTTGTGTCGTTTGTGCACCCCATGTACCGCGATGGTGAGTGATGGGCAGAGAAGGAGCAGGGCAATGTGGGTGGCAGGGTAGTGTGGGTGGCAGGGCAGTGTGGGTGGCAGGGCAATGTGGGTGGCAGGGCAGTAAGGAGGGCAGTCAGTAGGTGTCAAGTGTGTAACCACCCGAGGAACCCCCTGCGTCATCGCCCCCACACGCATCCCTTCTCAAACCCTCCCCTGCCCAATCTATCCCCTTCTCTTTTCCCCTCTACCCTTCCAAACCAGACGCCTGTGTCAAGTGTGTGACCACCCGGGCCACCCCATGCATCATTGCCCCCACGTGCATCGCCGGAAAGTGCGTGAATCTCGGGCAGAAAAAAGACGGGTCCGCCTGCGCGGATTTCGACTGGGGCGGCAACTCCTACACGGGGCACTGCCAGGCTGGCAAGTGCGTCAGCAAGGCCGTCCAATCGTATTACGCCAGCAAGCAGGCGGACAAGCTGTGGATTCCCGAGGGCTATGAGGCGCCGAATGTGACTATAGCGGTGGATCGGGGAGTGTATGCGACGAGCGAGCGCGAGTATATGGAGACGAGCTTGGGGTATTGGGATGAGCTGGCACGGGAGTCGGAGAGTTGCTCGTTGAATAATGGCGGGTGCGGGTCGCTGGTGTGTCAAGTTGACGTGGAGAGGAAGACGACCGTTTGCATCGATCCTCATGGTAAGGAGAGCACAGTGATTCGCATGGTAAACCATGGTAACGCAGGGGGATACTCCCGGCAAGTAACGTGCTTCAGCTTCAGTGTTCAGCTCTGCAACCTCTGTGTTTTTCCCCTCATGCAACTAGTTTCCCGCATACATCTCTTCCATTTGATATCGCATATGATAAGAGTGATGATGAAACTAGTTTCCACTCTTGAATTCTTCATGTTCCTGTGTGCTTGCCCATCACTCCTTCACCACTGAAACCCCTATTCTACACCACTACTCAAACCAGGTCGCTTCTTTGCACCTGCCCCACCAACCTAACATATTATTACCCGTCTCACTTATTTGCAATCTTCCTCCTTCCCCCCCCCCTTTTCCATTGCTTTCACTCCCATCCAGGTCACGGTTTTGCACCTGCTCCTCCTGCAATCGACTTCCCCACTGCCTCGAACCTAACATATCATTACCCGCTCCATCCATTAGCATGTATGGAGCAATGCAAACTTGATGCAAGGTGTAACCTTGTGGTTACCACACGCGCTCATGAGTGTTGGCTCAAAGGCAGCGAGCTTGGCCCTCCAGTTGAAGCCGATCGATCAATTCAGGCTTATAAGAAGCTAAGTAGTACCGGTGTTGCTGGTGCAACTAGAAATGTGGATTTGAAATATGGGCCCATGAATCAAGACGTTGCGGAAGCGGATGGTATGGAGGGAATAAGCGGGAACGCCGTTTTCCTTGTAGGGGCATCAGTGGGGGTACAAGATGGGCCTTAGTTGTTTCCATCAAATTGTTGTACAATAATTAGTTAATATAGGTGTTTTTTGTCCGAAAGTAAAAAACCGCTACGGCGGTTGTGCCACGAGCTTATAGGGAATCGGCGACATGCAGCAGCATGGATCATGGAGGTACGAGCAACCTCCATGATGAGACCAATGCGGCGCTCAACAACCCCATTCTGCTGTGGAGAGTCCGGGAGAGTGAACGTCTGGCGGATGCCGTGCTCCGCACAGTAGGCTGCCTAGAGGTCAGAGTAAAACTCGCCACCTCTGTCAGAGTGCAGACGTAGGACAGGAAAGTACGACTGGAACTCCGCCACGCACTTGCGAAATAAAAACCCCCAGGAATCTAGAGACTACATTTCGCGAAGACTCACGACGATGCCAAGCTGCCTTCCCTGTCTAAGTACCTTCGTCCCGTAATCTCAATCCAGTTGATGATTGTTTGAATCCTGATCCCGAAGGTGATGGCTTCCGAATCGGCCACCGGCTTTAGGAATCTCACCAACCCGGTGCGACGAGCAGTTCCCAAAGGCCCAAACGACGCTGCTAAGGGTGGAGGAGTTAGCCCTGATACGACATCCGTTGACCGCGACTCTCTATCCTCTCTAAGGAATGTTTCGCACTCGCAGTCAAATGAAGAATCTTCCGCAATGGGTAATAACAGCAGAGGTAACAGCAGTTCGCGAAATTCCCTCGCCGCTCGAGTTACGCTCCCTGGCGCAGCGTTTCCCGTCGGCGTCGCAGCGTTCGCAGTCGCGGTCGCGCTCGCGAAAACCTCCTCTCTGGTCATCCGCTTGACGACGACGACGATGACGACGTCGCCGGCGCAGTCGCCGGCGCAGTCGCTCGTCGTCGCAGCGCTCGCCGTCGTCGCCGTGATTCTCCTCGCGATCCTCGTCCTGCTTCTTCTCCACCTGCGCTCTCTCGTGCCGCGATCAACGGCGGGAATTTCGGAAAAAGATCCTGGGGGAGATGGACAAATGGAAGGGAGGAGGGAGAGTGGCGTAATGAGTGAAGAGGGGGAGAGAAAGGGTGGAGAGGGAAAAAGAGGGAAACAAGTAGAGGCAAGGGGAGACGAGGGAAAGGAAAAGAAGGGAAATGCAGAGAAGGAGGAGAGGGTGAGAGGCTTACGGGAAATGCAAGGTCCCCCTGTGCCGTGGTGGCTTCGGATTCTAGGAGTTGTGGGGAACGTGCCAGAGATCGTGAGCAAGGGTCACCATCAGTGCCACGTGGACTGGATGGCTGCTCATGGCCACCTCTACTCGTGAGTGTGCGTTGCTATGTGGTACGGCGCAGTTGTGGGTGGTATTGTGCGGTGTGCGGTTCGGTGCTTCCCGCAGTGAACTCAGGCAGTGGGAGTGGGGGTGGTGGGGAATGTTATCAAGATCGTGAGCAAGGGTCACCATCAGTGCCACGTGGACTGGATGGCAGCACACGGCCACCTCTACTCGTGAGTGTAAGGTTTTGTGCGGTGCTGTAAGGTGCTCTGTCTTGTGCTGTGGTCATGTATGTGTGGTGCTCCTGCTGTAGTTTCCAAGTCAACCAATCCCTCCCGCTCCTCCCCTTCCACGACTCTCAACTGCCATGTCTCCCACCCACCCTTCTTTCAGCTACTGCTACGGTCTTTGAGTACCTACCACCATGTACTCGCCATGTGGCGGCAGGTAGACGACTTTTGAGACGTCTCAAAAGTCTTTCCAGCTACTGCTACGGTCGTTGAGTACCTACCACCATGTACTCGCCATGTGGCGGCAGGTAGACGACTTTTGAGACGTCTCAAAAGTCTTTCCAGCTACTGCTACGGTCTTTGAGTACCTACCACCATGTACTCGCCATGTGGTGGCAGGTAGCGTCATGTCAAGGAGGTTCCTTTTTTGCTTTTGAGTCGACTCAAAAGCAGACTCATGTCAAGGAGGTTCCTTTTTTGCTTTTTTTGCTTTTTGCTTTTTGCTTTTTGCTTTTTTGCCAGTTCAAGGCATTCCACAGCCCCTATTCCATCTCATCGCTTCTCCTTTTCTCTTCCCCACCCTCTCTATCAGCTACTGCTACGGCCCTCGCCGTGTGGAGGAAGTGTCCTCCGCTGCTCTCGTGAAAGAGGTTTTGTCTCATCAATTCATCACCATGCAGCGCCTCATTCACTCTCAACCCGCCTGTCTCTCCATCAGCTACTGCTACGGCCCTCGCTGTGTGGAGGAAGTGTCCTGCCCTGCTCTCGTGAAGGAGGTTCTGCTTTGTCGCTTCAAAACATTCCATGACCGTCCCTTGCCTCCCTGTCCTCCCTGTCATCCCTGTCTCGTACCCCCTGCACTCACACCCGCCATTCCTTCAGCTACTGCTATGGCCCTCGCCGAGTGGTGGCAGTGTCGTCCCCTGCTCTAGTGAAAGAGGTTCTGCTCCGTCGCTTCAAGACATTCCACGACCGCCCCATACCTCCCACTGCCAGCCCCACCACTGGCCGGGGGCTGCTGTTTGCTCGGTGCGTGTCCCTCACATTCACCATCCTCTTGCACAAGTGATGTGGGTTCACTCCAAACTGAATCGCCTCTGCTTCTCACCATGGCCCCATGCCTCCCACCGCCAGCCGCACCACTGGCCGGGGGCTGCTGTTTGCTCGGTGAGTATCCCCCGCATCCCCCATCCCCATCCCCAACTGCTGCGGGTTCACTCCAAACTGAATCGCCGCTGCCTCTCACCATGGCCCCATGCCTCCCACCGCCAGCCGCACCACTGGCCGGGGGCTGCTGTTTGCTCGGTGAGTATCCCCCGCATCCCCCATCCCCATCCCCAACTGCTGCGGGTTCACTCCAAACTGAATCGCCGCTGCCTCTCACCATGGCCCCATGCCTCCCACCGCCAGCCGCACCACTGGCCGGGGGCTGCTGTTTGCTCGGTGAGTGTCCCCCGCATCCCCCATCCCCATCCCCAACTGCTGCGGGTTCACTCCAAACTGAATCGCCGCTGCCTCTCACCATGGCCCCATGTCTCCCACCGCCAGCCGCACCACTGGCCGGGGGCTGCTGTTTGCTCGGTGCGTGTCCCTCACATTCCCCATCCCCTTGCACAACTGATGTGGGTTCACTCCAAACTGAATCGCCGCTGCCTCTCACCATGGCCCCATGCCTCCCACCGCCAGCCGCACCACTGGCCGGGGGCTGCTGTTTGCTCGGTGAGTGTCCCCCGCATCCCCCATCCCCATCCCCAACTGCTGCGGGTTCACTCCAAACTGAATCGCCGCTGCCTCTCACCATGGCCCCATGTCTCCCACCGCCAGCCCCACCACTGGCCGGGGGCTGCTGTTCGCCCGGTGAGTATCCCTTCCGTCCCTCATCCCCTTGCTTGCACCATCGCTGTGGGTTCACTCTGAATCACTACACGACTTCCATGATTGCCCCGTGCACCCGTGCCTCCCACTGCCAGCCCCACCACTGGCCGGGGGCTGCTGTTCGCCCGGTGAGTATCCCTTCCGTCCCTCATCCCCTTGCTTGCACCATCGCTGTGGGTTCACTCTGAATCACTACACGACTTCCATGATTGCCCCGTGCACCCGTGCCTCCCACTGCCAGCCCCACCACTGGCCGGGGGCTGCTGTTTGCTCGGTGAGTTCAGATTCCCTCCTCCCACCTTTCGTCCCATCCTTTCGTTGCACCTTTTGTCCCATGCACAACTGCTTTTTATTCCAACCCCTGTTCCTCTTCCTTCCAGCAGCCACCAGTGGGCTCGTTTTGACTCCCTTGTTCTACCTTTCTCACCCATCTCCACTCCTTTTTTTTTTCCCCAGATAGGTGCAGCCAATGCAGTCACCAGTGGGCATGCTGCCCCTATCTGTGGTCCACATGATTCTGCCGTCCCTCCCTCTCTCTCTCTCCCTCCCACTCACTCAATCCCACTCCCTTCCCCCTCCCTTCTCTCTCCTTCCTTCTAGGGGTAACCACTGGGCTGGTTTGAGGAGCGCTCTCACTCCCATGTTCCACCGCTCCACCCATCTCCACTCCTTCCTTTCCGGAATGCACCGTTCCGTTCTCCATATGCTGCTGCTGCCGTTGTGGGATGCGACACAAACGAGGGCAGGGACGCAAGAGGAGGGAGGGAGAGAACGACGAGGGGGGTACGGGGCACAAGAGGTGGGAGGGACGGAGGGAGGACGGGGTGAGGAAAGGGAGAACCAAAAGGGAGGACGGGGCGAGGAAAGGGAAAAGGAGCAACGAGAGGGAGGAGGTAGCGAGAAGGGGTGGGTGGAGGTGGATTTGATGGGCATGTTTGAAGCAGTGGGGCTGGCATCTATTGGTGCTGCTTGCTTTGGTGACGACCTGTGGTTCCAGCAGGACAGCGCTGACACACACACAGCACCCCACACTGCCGCACTCCACACTGCTGCACCGCACACTGCCGCCCTGGCGTCTATTGGTGCTGCTTGCTTTGGTGAAGACCTGTGGTTCCAGCAGGACAGAACTGCTACACTCACAGCTGCGACAGCCGACACTGGGGCAAACAAGCAGGCAGGGGCGAAGCTAGGGGCGCACAGCAGCACTACTGAACCTGCACCTCCTCACACCACATTACCACCACACACAGCACCACACTCTACCGCACTACACACTGCTGCACCGCACACTGCCTCCCTGGCACGGGCATACGGGGCGAACGAGCAGGCAGGGGCGAAGCTAGGGGCGCTCTCATCGCTTCTCCTGGCCCTCTCCCCTGCGTGCCTGCACCCCTGGGCGCATGCGCTGCTGGGTGTGCTGCCTGGGAGCACCGTGGGCGCTGCAAGACAGAGACACCGAGAGCTGATGCTGGAGTGGAAGGTGAGGAGGTTTGGGTGTGTTGTGCTGCGTCCCTTCGCTCCTCCTGGCCCTCTCCCCTGCGTGCCTGCACCCCTGGGTGCATGCGCTGCTGGGTGTGCTGCCTGGGAGCACCGTGGGCGCAGCAAGGGATAGACATCGTGAGCTGATGCTGGAGTGGAAGGTGAGGAGGTGTTCAGTGCGGTGCCTGGGTGTTACTATGTTTTGAGGTGAGGTGCCTTGAAAGCTTCTCCTCGTGGCCCTCTCCCCTCCGTGCCTGCACCCCTGGGTGCATGCACTGCTGGGTGTGCTGCCTGGGAGCACCGTGGGTGCAGCGAGGAAGAGACACCGAGAGCTGATGCTTGAATGGAAGGTGAGAGGTTTGAGGCAGCACTTAGCAACTAAGGTGTTCAGTGCGGTGCCCAGAGGTACCACGTTCTCGCTATGCCCCTGGGTGCATGCGCTGCTGGGTGTGCTGCCTGGGAGCACCGTGGGTGCAGCGAGGAAGAGACACCGAGAGCTGATGCTTGAATGGAAGGTGAGAGGTTTGAGGCAGCACTTAGCAACTAAGGTGTTCAGTGCGGTGCCCAGAGGTACCACGTTCTCGCTATGCCCCTGGGTGCATGCGCTGCTGGGTGTGCTGCCTGGGAGCACCGTGGGTGCAGCGAGGAAGAGACACCGAGAGCTGATGCTTGAATGGAAGGTGAGAGGTTTGAGGCAGCACTTAGCAACTAAGGTGTTCAGTGCGGTGCCCAGAGGTACCACGTTCTCGCTATGCCCCTGGGTGCATGCGCTGCTGGGTGTGCTGCCTGGGAGCACTGTGGGTGCAGCGAGGGAGAGACATCGTGAGCTGATGCTGGAGTGGAAGGTGAGTGAGAGGTGTTGAGTGCGGTGCCCAGAGGTACCACGTTCTCGCTATGCCAACAACAGTCGCAAGGCAACACTCTCCTCCCACTCCCGCATCTGACCCTGCCATCCACCCATCTCTCCCCCGTATAACCCCCCCCAATCTCTCCCCTCCAACTCCTCCCTTTCTCACCAGCGGATGCTGGAAGCAAAGAGGCAGCAACCGTCTCAAGGCAACAGCAGCGCTGCTGACATACTGACCTTTCTCAAAAGGTACATCAGGGTGACAGACCAAACAAAAAAAAACAAAACAAAAAAAGCAAAAAACAAAACAATACACACACGCAAACAACATCGTGTACATATTCGCACAAACCCGCTCTCACAGACAGCACACACTCACAGGCACACGCACTCACAGGCACACGCACTCACAGGCACACGCACTCACAGGCACACGCACTCACAGGCACACGCACTCACAAGCACGTCTTTCATTCTGTGCTGCATGCATGTCACTTCGCCCCAAGTCCGACCTCCCTATGTGAATTTCACTTTTGAGAATTCTCAAAAGTTAAATTGACATAGCATGCATGTCACTTCGCCCCAAGTCCAACCTCCCTTGTGTCCTCTTTGGCCTCCTGGGCGCCGGTGTGGGGACCTTATGGGTAATCGCCCCCTTTTTCCTTCCCCCCTTACCTTACCAACCTGCCTCACATTTTCCGAGACAAGGGCACCACAGCACATCTGCTTTTGAGTCGACTCAAAAGGAGACAAGGGCACCACAGCACATCACTTTTGAGTCGACTCAAAAGGAGACAAGGGCACCACAGCACATCACTTTTGAGTCGACTCAAAAGGAGACAAGGGCACCACAGCACATCACTTTTGAGTGGACTCAAAAGGAGACAAGGGCACCACAGCACATCTGCTTTTGAGTCGACTCAAAAGGAGACAAGGGCACCACAGCACATCTGCTTTTGAGTCGACTCAAAAGGAGACAAGGGCACCACAGCACATCTGCCCCCCTTCCGCCAGTCTGCACTAGTCTGACTTCCCTCTGATCCTCTTTTGAGAATTCTCAAAAGTGATTTCCGCCGGTCTGCACGAGTCTGACTTCCCTCTGATCCTCTTTTGAGAATTCTCAAAAGTGATTTCCGCCGGTCTGCACGAGTCTGACTTCCCTCTGATCCTCTTTTGAGAATTCTCAAAAGTGATTTCCGTCGGTCTGCACGAGTCTGACTTCCCTCTGATCCTCTTTTGAAAATTCTCAAAAGTGATTTCCGCCGGTCTGCACTAGTCTGACTTCCCTCTGATCCTCTTTTGAGAATTCTCAAAACTGATTACCACAGGTCTGCACGAGTCTGACTTCCCTCTGATCCTCTTTGGCCTCCTGGGTGCCAGAGTGGAAACCACATCGTCCACCCTGGCTTTACTCTCATTGTCCCCCGGACCCCCTCCCCTCCCCTCTGCCTCCCAGCTTCCAAGAGAAAGGCACAGGGGCAGGATTGCATCCGACTTCCCTCTGATCCATGTGGCCTCCTGGGCGCGGGAGTGGAAGCACATCATCCACCCTGGCTTTACTCTGATTGTCCCCCGGACCCCCTCCCCTCCCCTCTGCCTTCCAGCTTCCGAGACAAGGGCACAGGAGCAAGACTGGCCGATTCCGACCTGCCTCTGATTCTCTTTGGCCTCCTGGGCGCCGGAGTGGGGACCACATCGTCCACGCTGGCATTTGCCGTCCACATGCTGACTCAGCACCCGGACGTTTCACGGAAGCTTCAGGCTGAAATCGATAGGTACTTCGAGGAAAGGGAGCAGGCGGGAGAGGTAAAAGGGGAGGGGAAAGGGGAGGAAGAGGGGGAGGGAGAGGGGGAGGGGGAAGAGGAGGGAGAGGGGAAGGGGGAGAGGGGGCCAGGGGAGATTGGGCGAAGAAGGTTCGATGACTCACCCCCTGTTTTTAAAAATAGGTCTTTATTTAAAGGCTTAGAAGTGCTTAAGTATCTTGATATGGTTGTAAAAGAAACACTTAGGCTGTACCCTGCTGCCCCTATAGCTGCCCGGCTGCCCGTCCATGCAACGACTCTGGCTGGTTACCACATCCCTGCGAATACACCCGTTGTGGTCCCGATTTTCGCTGCCCACCGCTGCCCGGATTTCTTCCCCCGGCCGCTTTCTTTTCTGCCCGAACGTTTCGGTCAGCGGGCAGCAGGTGAGAAGGGAGTTGGGTGGAAGGAGGGAGGGAGGGAAGAGGAGGCAGAAGGGCAAGTGGGGGAAGGACGGGGCGAGGAGGGTGCAGAATCGATCAAGAGTGAAGAGAGAGGAGAAGGAAAGGAACACGAGGAGGTGCTGTGGACGGCCGAGTCAGAAGCCATGTATTTGCCTTTCGGTGCCGGTCCCCGCATGTGCATCGGGGCACGATTTGCAATGATGGAAATCAAGCTCTGCCTTGCGCTGCTGCTGCGGGTATTTGACATCACATCAGTATCTGACACCCCATATGCTTCCAGACGTCTCAACGCAAGTGAGACTGACGCTGAAGAAAGGGGAAGGAAACGGGGAGGGAGTGAGGATGCGGAGGAGGGAAGCAAATGGGGCAGTGCGAGCAGCAAGACAAGGGTGGATAGCAGCAAGTTGCCTTTGGAATCTGGGTTGAACCTTTGGCCGAAAGACGGCAGAGGAGAGGAGGGCATCAGATGGAGTGCAAGCAGCAAGACAAGGGAGGATAGCAGCAAGCTGCCGCTGGAATCTGGGCTGAACCTTCGGCCGAAAGATGGTGTGCGGGTGAGAATTCGAAGGAGAGGCAATGGTATTCCATTGTGAAGCGGGAGAGGGATAGACAGCAGCAAGTTGCCGCTGGAATCTGGGTTGAACCTCCGACCAAAGCACGGGGTGCGGGTGAGGATTCGGAGGAGGGGCAATCATATTTCGCTGTGAGGAGGCAGAGGAGAGGAGAGGAGAGGATGGCAGCAGATGGTGGGGTGTGGGAGCAGCGGAGGATGGAGCAGCAGCAAGATGAGGGAGGGTAGCAGCAAGCTGCTGTTGGAATGGGGTGCGGGTAAGGATTCGGAGGAGGGGCAATGGTGTTCCTTTTACGGTATGCCGATGTGACCTGATTGTATGGTGGCGATGTACTATTTGGTTCCTAGTGAAATTCTTTGATATGGTTAATCTTCATTTCCTCTTTTTTTGGCAGTGTGCCGCACCCCAGAATCAGCACACCTGTCAGATGGTGTTGAAATGGGGTTGACGCTACAAATGCTTTAGTGCTTCTTCACAGGGCAGACAGACAGACACTGATACAGTTAAGAAAGTTCCTGTACACGGGTCCTATTATGCAAGGTACACATGCGAGCTGAGGTACCCTGTATTAGCAAAGCACACTGTCACTGACCCTGACAACCTCTTATAAACCGGTATCACCTGTCCTCCTCCGTGCTGCCTCCGGAAGAGCCTATCCTGCTAGGAGTGAGTTCAGAGACCCTCAAGACAGGCACCTTGCTTCTTGAACTCTTGCTTCCACCGCTGCTGCTACCGGCAATAGCGCGCATTGTGGCATGCCCATCTGTGGCATGCGCATCTGTGACCGCACCTCCCATCTCACCCCACCCACCCTATTCTCCCCACCCACCAGGACCCTAGGTACGGCAGGAGGCAGTGCGGTTCTACACCTGATGGTGGTGTGGCATTTGATTCGACTCTTAAGTCACCGCACCTCCCATCTCACCCCACCCACCCTCTTCTCCCCACCTACCAGCACCCCGAGGTACTGCAGGATGCAGTGCGGTTCTACCACCTGCCTTTGCGGGTCAGGAGGTCCTGGTGGGTGGTAGAACCGCCCACCTGATGGTGGTGTGGTTGGTGCGCTCTGTGGGGGGCTTTCACCTGCCGCTGCCCGCGCCTGCGCCCGTCGGCTGGGCTGATGGAAGTGCTGTATGACAGGAGGCAGTGCGGTTCTACCCCCTACCTTTGCGGGTCAGGAGGCCCGCCCACCTGATTGTGGTGTGGCCGGTGCGCTCTGTGGGGGGCTTTCACCTGCCGCTGCCCGTGCCTGCGCCCAAGGACTGAGCTGATGGAACTGCTGTACGACAGGAGACAGCATGGTGTTTTTAAAACCTCTGGCTGGTGCAGATTCAGAAAGAGGCAACTGCATCCTTCTGTATGTATATATGGCGTTTGCTTCCTTCTGTATGTATATATGGGTTGAAAGGTGTTTGCTTCTTAGTGAGGTTAAGTGTTGCAAGGAAAGGTATATCTCCATTGCCCAGAAGCTGTCCATGCACCAGGATATGGACACTGGGTCGTGAGGAACTAATATCAAGGTGAAATGTGCATAATCAGAACATGTGTAATCCTGTGCAAGGCACACAGCTTGGCCGTAATGTATATATATGCGAACTTTCCTACCACACATGCGCCTTAGTGTCACTACATGCCACCTACAGCATACATGGACACTACATGGATGGAGAGTGTACAGGCCATCATTATTTTATGTGTTGTTAGCAGCCCGTGAATGGGCTGTCCTTGTGTTACGGTAGATTGCCAAGCTGCATCCATGCTGCATCGACCAGCCAAGTGACCTTGCTGGTTGCACTCTCTTGCTTCCGGCAAGGTGCTTCTGCTGCTACCAGCACTTGTGTTTGTGCAACAAGGAAGCAGTTAAGCGATATCTCACAGCGCAGTCCAAATGAGTCAAGCTGCACGTATAAGGCCTATCTGCCTCCATGCTGCTTCAGAAAGAGCCTGTTCAACGACTTCCTGACTTCGCTGCTTGCACTCTTGCTTCCGCTGCTGCTACTACCGGCACTGTTGCCTGAGCTGCTGCTGCTGCTGCTGCTGCTGCTGCTGCTGCCAGCGCCGATGCTGGTGCTCCCACTCCCGCTCCCATCCACCAACCTTGTCCCATTCCTGCTCCCAACCTTCTCTCCAAACGGCTTCCCCGGCCGTCCCTTTTTCGGCCACGGCAGCTTCCTACCAAGCTTCTTCCAAATGCTATCCGAAAGCAGCGGGTCGGGGCCGTATCCCCCGAACGGGTGTACAATCTTGTGGAAAAACACGTCGACCCACGCGTCTGGCACCCCCGGAAGGCACCATTTCACGCAATCCATCTCGCTTGCATCTGGAGGGGGTCCGTATGCTGCCATGTGGCCATCCGCTCGGTACATCGACATTTGTAACACATCCAGGAGTTTGATTTTCGATTTGGATAACGCTTGCCGTTGCACTGCTGTCCAGCCAGTGGCGTCGCTCCGAGCCTCTGCGTACCGCATCGCGTCAGCTTGTAAAGGGGATGCGAACAGCCCGCATGTGGTAGCCGCATATCGAAACATATTCGGGTTGTGAGACGGCGGCATGGTGAGAAAAAACGGCCGAACCAGCTGGAAATTCTTATCAAAATAACTTGATACCGCTTTAAGCGCAGTTGATAACGCGTCTTGAGGTGTAGGCTGAGGCGAAAGCGGCTTTCCCTGGGAGTAATAAATCCTCTGATTGCTGATATAGCTGCTGTACGCGCTGTTGTTGACGCTGCTGGTGGTAGTGGCTGGCTGGGGTAAAAAGTAATTGCTGGCAACGAGAATCAGGGATTTAAGCTGGGGGATTTTAGGCAGCATCTCGAGAATCTTGTGGTTGATTGTGCCCAGCTGCACGTGCCAGAGGTGAGAGGCCTTGGACTCGCCCTGAGGGACGGGAGGAGTAGAGAGAAGAGCAGAGGAGAGAGGATGCTTAAGCCTGGAAACAAGGGGGGAGCATCTCGAGGATCTTGAGGTTGATGGTGCCCAGCTGCACGTGCCAGAAGTGCGAGGCTTTAGATTCGCCCTGAGGGACGGGAGGAGTAGAGAGAGAGAGAGAGAGAGAGAGAGAGAGAGAGAGAGAGAGAGAGAGAGAGAGAGAGAGAGAGAGAGAGAGAGAGAGAGAGAGAGAGAGAGAGAGCAATAGAAGAGAAGAGAGGAGGAGAGGCTTTAAGCTGGGGGATATTGGACAGCATCTCGAGGATCTTGTGGTTGATTGTGCCCAGTTGCATGTGCCAGAGGTGAGAGGACTTGGACTCACCCTGTGGAGAAGAGGGGAGAGAGGGGGGAGTGGGAAGAGGGGGATATATCAGAGGGCAGAGGGCAGAGGGCAGAGGGGAGAGGGCAGGGGTCAGAGAGCCTACATATCCGGCCATGCCCCGACATGAGAAGCGGAGCGCCATGGAAGAAGGAGTGTTTTGAGACGTCTCAAAAAACCGGCCATGCCCCGACATGAGAAGCGGAGTACCATGGAAGAAGGAGTGTTTTGAGACGTCTCAAAAAACCGGCCATGCCCCGACATGAGAAGCGGAGTACCATGGCAGCCATAGCATACCATACCATTGCTGCAGTACTCCATACCATCGGCCGAGAGGATATCATCTACTAAGAGCTTACCATCAGTATGGAGATGTCCACCCGGCCGCAGCACTTATAATATACCATCGGTATGGTGTATTACGGCAGGCTAGAGAGCTGAGCGGCTCTGAGCTGGCCGCCATACTACGTGCTGCAGTGCTCCATACCCATCACGCCGCTCATTCATTCCATAGGAGACTTTTGAGTCGACTCAAAAGGCAGCTGGCAGCCAGCCATACGTGCTGCAGTGCTCCATACCCATCACGCCGCACCATAGCGACGCTCATTCCATAGGAACGTCCTGCAACGCTCACCTCCACATCCGGCCATGCCTCCATGAGGAACGGAGCATGCCCACATGCCATGTGGCATGCTGCTTCACGCCCCGTAGGAGCACTGGAGCACCATGCACCATGCAACGCTCACCTCCACATCCGGCCATGCCTCCATGAGGAAGGGAGTGTCCACCAGAATGACCCACACACCGTGTGCCCTGCTCCTTTATGCGCCATGCCATTCACCATGCGCCATAGCAGAAAATCCCGCCTCCATTCACTCTCACCTCCACATCAGGCCATGCCTCCATGAGGAAGGGAGTGTCCATTGGAATGACACCATGTGCCCTACCATGCACCATGTTTATGCACTATACCATTCACCATGCACCATGTTCATGCACTATACCATTCACCATGCTCCACAGCAGCAATTCTCACCTCCACATCCGGCCATGCCTCCATGAGGAAGGGAGTGTCCACCAGAATGACTCGTGTGCCCAGCAGCTTCACCTTAAAGCCCTGGCCCGTCCACCCAGCTAGTTTCGGATCCCAGTCCTGCAATTGAATATAGGATTATAAACAGGGTAACATGTAGGATTACCACGACACCCTTTCTCGAACAAAGCATGACGATTTACAGTCGCTCTCTGTACAGTGTACACTTTTTGATGGATGTGGATTACTTTTTAGAGATTCGATGGTTGTTACTATTTGGGGTTTGTTTCTATACGTTCAACACTTACCTCTGTAGTGTAGTGTTGGCTAATGCGGCATCGCAGTGATTGGTAAAGGTACTGTCCGGTGCTGTCACCCGCTATAGCAACCGCTTGGCCCACAAACCGAGCCGCAAACGACTTGGGATTGAATCTGCGAGTAAGCACGAGAAGGATACGAGAGAAAGAGGGGTGAGAAAGGAAGAGGAACAAATTAAGAACGAGAGAAGCGATAGAGGTAAAAGAAGGAGGGATGGGGAATGAAAGAAAGAGGTAAGAGGGAGAAGAGAGAGGAAGAGGTATGAGTGAGAAACGTGAGAGAGAGGTGTGAGAGAGGAAGAGATGTGGGTTTGAGGGAGAAAGAGGATTTATGAAGCAGCATTGGAAGAAGACTATTGAAGTAGAGGTCGGAGCTTCAAGCAGTCTTCGGTTGAGCCTTACATGGTCAGATCACAACCGTTGGGTTTCCAGATGAGGTGCTGGAAGTCGCCATCCGGCCGTCCGTTCTTGATGCAGTTGAAGTTATCCGTGATGTACGGACAGTCGTTCTGATACTGCGGATACTTCGACGAAGGAACCCATCTGAAAAGGGGAAGAGGAGGAGGGTATAAATGGTGGAAACGAAAAGAGATAGTTGCGAGGAAGAGGGCACTAGTGGCAAATACTTCATTTTCGACAGTAAAAAATTGAGGTGGTAAAACCGCGAGAGAGATTACGGTAACAACCGGCATTCCGGTCGTTCTAACAATAACGAGGATGAGAGGACACTAGTCGAAAAACAATATATGACTCTGGGGTGAGAAGGTAACGGTAACGCACGATCCGACAGTGATGTCGCATTTCTTGCCGGACGACGCCGCCGTCGCATGCGACAGGAGCGATAGGCTGGCGAAAAGGGCGGCGACGACTGCGACTGGCTGGGCGAAGATCTGCCTCGACGTGCGGGGCCGCACTGGAACCATATCTTAAGGGCTGGACTTTTTTTTTCCTAGTCCGAAGCTACTTTCGAGTGGACGGAGGCGTATCGACGAGATTTGGCAGCGCGATTGAAGCGGACGTGATTGAAGTGGTTTGAGTTACGATGAAGGAATTGCAGTGGTTCGTGACGCGTGAGGGCGTGGGTGAGATTGGAGTGGACTCAAGCAAACGAAGTAGCTGCTTTACTTTGGCTATCGTGCCAAAAGTAGAGAGTAGTAGGTTGGATGACGTGTCGTGATAGAGTGACGCGAAGGTCAAAAGCTCACCACGGTAATCTGCATGAGTAGCTGACTTGCTATTTGATATGAGCTGCTAGTTTATATGAGCTGTCATGGTACCACTATAGGAAGCTCGAAGTAATACGCTCGTGGTACGAACTAGCTACTTCTTCCGAAGGGATTCGCGAATAGAAACGATAACTACCTAATGAGCATCGATAATTTTCGGCGCTCGCCTTTCGTCGAATGAGGTGGCAACAGGCGAGAATACTCGGAGCAAATTATGAAGAAGGGGATTCCCGTGCGGATTGTGGGAAAGGGGAAGCTGACGCAGATTCTAGAAAGAAAGCTGAGATGTCCTGGGCGCCTCGCGCCGACACATAGGCGCATGGCGTGCCTTGGGATGCGCACTGCGCAGACAGCAGCAGTTTATGGTGGGACTGGTTCTCCGTAGAAGCGCATAAAGGTTCTCGCAACTATGTCTTAGTCGGTCATGATCGTCCCGTATAAAACCGTCGCTCGGCGTGACGGCGCGCATTTCATCACACAGCCTCTAGTATCCTGCGAATGCCCTTAGGCTCTCGCCTTGAAATGGGGGAAACGGTCGTTGAAATGAGGGGTGGATGCGTTGTCGCCGTTGTGGTTCCCGGAAGCTGTGCTATCAAGTCCAAGATGACGGTGGAAATCCGACGACTGACCATTGCCATGGTCAATTGCCGTCGGTTTGCGCGGTGGAACCGACGGTTGGTTGGAACCGCGGCTTTCGAGTCTCGACACATCATCATTAAGGCTGGGAGGGGGGCTGGCTTTTGTACCTCTCCCATCTCCATTCGAGAATACAGGGCGTCGAGTGATGATGGGTGGAACGATAGAAGGTGAGGTGTGTGATAGATGAGATGGGTTCACCTAGGCTCGTTTCGCTCCGGAGTCTGGAACATAATGAACAGCCAAGACCGCTGAATGCCTCAACCTAGATGTACGTGTGTTGCGCGCGCTGTAGTCGCTGAGACACCTAAGAAAAGGGGCGTCGGAAGGAACTCGGAAGTGAACAAATGGAGGGAGAAATTGATAGCAGAGGGGTGTGTGCCCTCGGGTCGAGTCGAGTCTCTCTCCCTCTGTCCTCTCGGCTCCATCCAAGCCAACCAAGCGCGCAGGCGTTTGTTCAGGTTTCACACAATCACGGCGCAGCACAAACAAATGGTGAATTTTGTTAGCAGTCGCGGGGCCGTTCAGCAGGCGCCTAGTTGTGCCCGCATTTCCGCCCCACAAAATGCAGAGATGTCGGCGCACGGTTTGACATTTCCGACGAGGCGCGCTTGCAATGGACAAAGCGCAAAGTTCCTCCGTGAAGTGCGGCGATGCATTCGCTCTCGGCACCGTTGTGATGCCACGTCCAACTTGTTTTCTTGCACAACAGAATAGTGAGCTGAGCTTTTTTGCTATAGCATTATCTTCACAAAGAAGGCCTTTTTGGGTTGCGTAGCAACCCTTTATATTTGGTTTCACATTTTGGGGATATCATTTGAAGAGTGTACTTACACACTTTTTGGAGCACCCGTTTGAAAGTTTTGAAACTGTGTTCAAACGGATGCCTCAAATAATGGATAAAAAACACCCTTGAATGAGATCCCCATATGTAAAACCAAATACCGAAACGCACGTACGTATCATGTTGAAACCAAGAACTTGCTCGACCGTCCCAACCTCGTCGATAAATACGGCGGATCGTACGACCGAGCATACCGTCACCCCCCGGATATACCCCCATGGGGGGCAATAATAAAACAGGTTTTTTCAAGGGGGTGGGCTTATAATCGAGTAAATTTATAAGCGCCGGCGTTTATAAAATGACATTCATATTTTTTATATTTTTTAACACCAAACTGTAGGTCTCGTGCTTGCCCTTTCAATCGAGTCGAATTTACATGGGGTCGTCTGTGAAATTCTCGCGCGCGCTGGGAGACACACCCAATCTGACTCACATCCAGCTCCTGACAGCTCCTGCTGACTGGACCCGCATCCAGTGCAGGGTCCGAATGTGAAGGGAACCGAATCTGCAACATATCTGCCTGCTAAAGTAAAAATCATTACAACGTTTTGTACACATTTCAAATTTTAAAGTTTACGTGCGCTTATAATAAAACTAGTTTTTTCAGGGGGTGCGCTTATAATCGAGGAGGGGATATAAGCGCCATATGCCAATTAGAAGCGCCAGGCGCTTATCCTAGGGTGGCGCTTATATCCGGGGGGTGACGGTAATATTCTGGCATCAACACGAACGAATGAACAACGAGGTATGAGGTGGAATGGATGCTTCAAAATGAATGTTTAAATGCATCATGCAGAACCAGAGGTTGATGGGGTCGTTGAAACAGCGGAAACCCGCTGCCCCAAAGACGATTAACAACCTCTACTTGCATGCATGACACACAATAACACCACACTTTGAAACACACATCCCACAAATACGAATGCAAACGCACGTAAAAAATGTCCAACACCACGTAACAGTTGTGAACGGATCGAAGAGCAACCCCACAGTGAAACAAACAAAACGAACAGACATGTACATGTCAAACATTATATATGTTATGCTTGTGTAGGCTACAGTGGGTTAGCCTATAGGGGGTACACAATTCTAGGGTTTCCCACTTGTACTCATTTCACTGCTAGTTCATTCATTCCTGTTCGCTTATTCTCACATGGTATAGAGCGGGTCCTTCTACGGACCGTTTTTTTTTGGGCCCACCGAAGCGCCCCCCGAGGCGCGATCTTTTTTTTAGCGACCCCTCGGGTCGCCATTTCCCCTGCGGCCCCGCCGCCTTCACTGACGCGGCCCCGCCGCCCTCTCTGTCGCGGCCCCGCCGCCTGCTCTCACGCGGCCCCGCCCCGGCTCCTTCGCGGCCCCGCCGCCTGCTCTCGCGCGGCCCCGCCTCGGCTTCTGCGCGGCCCCGCCCCGGCTTTCACGCGGCCCCGCCGACGGCTTTGTCGCGGCCCCGCCCAGGCCCTTACGCGGCTCCGCCGCCTGCTCTCACGCGGCCCCGCCCCGGCTCCTTCGCGGCCCCGCCGCCTGCTCTCGCGCGGCCCCGCCCCGGCTTCTACGCGGCCCCGCCCCGGCTTTCACGCGGCCCCGCCGACGGCTCTGTCGCGGCCCCGCCCAGGCCCTTACGCGGCCCCGCCGCCTGCCCCCGTCGCGGCCCGGTCACCTCCTGACGGCTCCTGCCGTCCCCTTCTACCGGCCCCGCAACTGCACCTGCTGGCCCCGCCGCTGCACCTACCGGCCCCCCACCACCCACCCCCCCTTTTCCCGTCGCCCGTCGCGGCTCCTTCGGGGGCGGCCAGCAGAGGGGTGGCAGGTGTGTGGCCACCCCTGCTTCTCCTCCTCCTTCATCTCCCCTGCAGCAGCCGAGCCGCCCCACAGCCGAGCCGCCCTGCCGCCGAGCCGCCGGGTCGCTGAGCTGCTGAGCTGCAGTTGCTGCCGAGCCGCCCTGCCGCCGAGCCGCCGAGTCACCGAGCTACTGAGCTGCAGTTGCTGCTGAGCCGCCTTGCCGCCGAGCCGCCCGAGTCGCCTGAGCCGCCGAGCCGCCGAGCTGCCGAGCCGCTGAGTCGCCGAACCTACTCTTCCCACCACTGGTGAGCTCTTGCCCTGCTAGCACGCTGCGCGTCGCCTGCTTGCCTGCCTGCCTGCCTTTTGGCTTGCCTGGCTGCCTGCCTCCCTGCTGCTAGTCCTGCTCCTGCTTCTACTTGCGGAGCCAAATGCAGCCCCAGCGACGCCGGCGTGAGTCCCTCACGCCGCAGCAGCTGCGTGAGTGGTACGCTGGTTGGGGCTGTAGGGGTGGCGACGCTACTCCTACTACCACTCCTGCTGCTTCTACTCGTGGTGGCGGCCAGATGCAGCTCCCGCGACCCTCTCGCGTGTCTCTCACGCCTCGCCAGCTTCGTGAGTGGTACGCTCAGAGTGGAGGGTCTCTTAGTGCTGTTCGCTGCTCTTACGTGATTCGCACTGGTACTCGGACTGGTCAGCCTTGTGGGACACGTAGTCATACACCGTCCCGCTGCTTCGCCCGTCTGAGCGACGCCTGGCGTACCGTGTTTGGCGACGAGGCTGAGCTTCCCGACTGGGTGGAGTTGCTTAGGCAGAGGGTAGATATATATGCTCTTGACTATGATGCTATTCTCACTGCCA